TTTGGGGTCTCAGCCCAGATAGGCTCCGGGGGTGGTCCGGGGCGGCCCAAGGTAAGGTTCCACGAGGGTTCCACCATCGTTCCACCAGGTGCTGTTGGGGATATCACCTGAGCTTATTTTTTGGGGGGATGGTTACGTTCATGTTGACCGCAAAGAAAAAGAACGACTCTCCCCACTGCACTGGCTCGACTCTTGTCGAAGCTGCTGCCTTCGCAATTTCACCTCTCGCGCGAGCGCTGCAGTTGCCAGTGAACGGTATTAAATCTTTCCTTCATGAACAATGGCAGTTTCTTCCACAAACCTGCACCCGCTGGTTTGCGGAACCAACACAACCTGTTTCCTTGTGGGCCTCGTTGCCACCAACGAGAACATATCAAAAAAACATATCCTTTGTTCTCACCGTGGCTGTACATGTGTGGCCTCAGAGCATATCCGCACATACGATTGCCGCACCGGCCTCACTTGGTTTGCTTGCGTGCCGGCTTGTGCGAAGCCTTCGGCTTAGCTCGTGCTTTTGGTCGCTCTGCAGACAGCTGAAGGCATGCGACTGCCGGGTCAAACTCAAGTTCTTCTTCGCTTTCACTCGCTTCGCAAACTGTACACACTCGATTCCACAAGATGCGCTCATTCATGAAGGACCCTCAAAAAACGACACCGACCAACACGACGCGTACTAAAATAGACTACAGAAAAACGGGTACTTATTCTAACCTCTCTACTGGAGACTTGGGGGGGGTTCTCCACTTTCGGCATTTTCAAGTCCGTGCAGACTTTCTCATTGGGATTTTTCCCCACGCCAGCATTGGAGTTCCCGTGATCGACTCGAGGCCGTGTTCGTGACGGTGGTTGCGGCCGTTCTGCTGATGCTGGGCCTGATGTTCGAGAAGAAGGCGGGAGCTTCAAGTCAAATCCGAAGAGGAAGGAAGTGGACTTTCGGGGTGTAAAAGCTGGCCCGAAACCAAATGTGCCATGAGCATGAAAACAAAGGACCTGGAAACAAAAGGGTTGGCATGTTGAGACCTTGACAAATCGACAAACAACGGAGAACCCAAAGATTAAAAGGCCAGTGTTGGACACGCAAGGAAAGCTCCCAACTCCCAAAACCCATCTACTTTGGGGTTTCCTTTGACTGCTAGGGTCCTCTGGATTATTCCAAAGCGAACGTAGGCTTTAAGTCAACCCCCAAAAGGGTGCCCTTAAAAAAGCCCGTCCCATGAGCGCGGAGTTCCTTTCTGAGAATTCCCCAAAGGTAGGCTTGACTTCCCTTTCGGGTACACAACCACTCCTCGGCCGATTCGCAGTTCTATCTGCCACAATTTCGCGCCAGCTCTCAACCTTGCAATGAATCAACCCCAACCCTCCCCCCATCGTGAACATCACTCTCTGATTGTTGTTTTCTTCTCCCTAAGGAGCGTCTCACACCCGAACACAGGAGCATGCGACACAACATCACTCCCTGATTGAATTTCATAGCACCTCGGGGCAAGCCATCGCCAAAGCCAAGGCGGGTCTGTTGGCCACCTTCGGGCTGGCCACCATGTACGTCCTCTTCCTCTTCGGCGCCGGGGGGCTCGTCTTCTCGTCGTTTTTTCTCGCACCCAACGAACCGAAGGCGGGCCGCTTTTGGCACCTGGCTCCTCAACGCCTGAAACAAACCCACCGGAATGCTGGGGGCAATATCAAACTTTAGTAGCGGGTGCTTCTGCCATCAGAGGTGTGCGTCCCTTGAGTCGCTATACTCTTTGCAAGGAAGCCAAAGCGAAACACCATTTTTATTCCTCAACAGCTGAAAGCTTTGGGGTCTCAGCCCAGATAGGCTCCGGGGTGGTCCGGGGCGGCCCTGAGGTGAGGTTCCACGAGGGTTCCACCAGGGTTTCACCAGGGTTCCACCAGGGTTCCACCAGGGTTCCACCAGGGTTCCACCAGAGGGTTCCACCAGAGGGTTCCACCAGGATTCCACCAGGGTGCCACCAGGGTTCCACCAGAGTTCCACCAGGGTTCGGTTCCACGATGTTCTCGAGGGCTGCGGGGTGGTGCAAGCACCAAAAAGAGCACCGAAGAGCACCGCGTGCTGTTGGGGATATCACCTGAGTTTTTTTTTTTTTTTTTTTATTTATTTATTTTTAAGTTGTGCCCCTTGTGGGTGCAGTACATAGATCAAAAGGGAAGGCCCCCAAGTCACTTCCACCCGCCCCTTGATCGATTGATTCTGGCCGAAGGTGGCCTCTAGGATTGAGTTGAGCTGGGGCCAGCCGCGGCTTTTGAAGCTGGAGGTTTTGGTTTTGGTTTCCCCGAAAGTGGCCTGATTCCCACGAAATCCAGACTCGGACACCCGCTTACTGTGGGATGGTCGCGAAATCCATTTCGCACCACCGTTCGGAAATTTTCGGTTTCTGATGATTCAACTGCAAACACCGAGCAACAGTGGCTTCAGCCATGCTTTCAAAGTGGTGCATGATTTTGTCCACCCGCAGTATGAATAAACTGGTGAATAGGGTTTCAGCATCACAGAGATCGAGGCGCGAAAAGGCACCACCAGGTGCCTTTGTGCAACTTATGCACTCGCGGACCCACTTTTTTTTTTTTTTTACATAATACTATTTTTTCGACGCGGATTTGAGCAGAGCGAGTCATGTTTGGCGGGTCGATTCGAGTCGAGCAGAGTGTCGGAAGATTCCCTCGGCATGACAAGACTCCTTGAGGCGAAGTGGGTGGACCCCTTCAAGAACCTACCTGTATGAGTCTTGAGGATTCCTTCGCTGGACTTCAAACTTGGGCTACAATTTGGGGCCTAGCCAAACTCAGTGAAGGGAATGGTGTCCGCAAGTTTCGACCATGGCGGCTGACACGTACCTTTCCAGCCCAAAAAGCAAACAACCACCAAAGCAGGGGTGTCTTTTTGCCAGCTTTTGTGAGAGAAGTGGCGACCCCCTCAAAAATGGAATCCTTGACTACGAGGGGGTCGATCAATGGTCCACAAAAGGTGGCAACAAGCCAAAGGCGGTTCCCAACCGAAGGAGGTTCCCTGCCCGTCCCAAGGGTTGTGAATTTTCTCACAAAACGGGGGACGTCTCAACAGGCGTCTGTGGCCCTGCTCCAACTGATTCTTTATTTCGGAATCGCTGCCTTGGTCAGGGACCAACAACACAACAATAACCCTTGCACCATCAAACAACTCTTAAGACTGGATTTTGGACCCAACTGCAATCCCAGCCCGATGTAGATGCGTTGTTTTGACCCTTTCATCTTGGTTCAAAGGGAAGCCAAAAGGAAAACCATGCCCATTGTTGGGGTATCCTGAATACATATTGTGGACGGACAAAATATTGCACTACTTTGAATCCAACCATTGTTGATGGGTATTTACAGGGGGATTCCTCATTCCAAGGCTTCTTACGTGGTGCAAAATGGATTTCGTCCATCCACAGTATGATCTCAAAGGGAAGCCAAAAGGAACGCCATGGCTGTTGTTAGGGTATCCTGAAAACCATGCCGTCATATCTGAAACTTCGCATATCAACAAAGATGAATTGCTCTCAGTCCAATGCGAGGTTTCCTTGTTTCTCACGGGAATGTCTCCCAGGCAGGGACTCTTGCCTCTCAAATCGGGAACCAACATGGGCTTTGGCATACCCATTTGGATTTCCCCCCGGCACCTTTTGGGTTTCCCGGCTCCGTCCCGTTCCGAGGCGGTCCTGGCGGAGACCAGAGTGATCTGAGCGCAAGAGCTGAGCGAAGGGACGGGGGTCCCAGTGGTTCAGAGCGTCACCAAACCACGAGGCTCGAACCTGTCAGTCTTTTTTCTTCTCCTTTTTTTGTTGGAGTTTCTGTGAGTTGTTTTCTTTCTCTTTCTTTTTTTGAGTTTCTCAGTTGTTTTGCTTATTTTTTAATTTTCTGTGAGAAAGGGTAAACATTAGCAACCCCGCAGAAAGGTTTTGGATGTTTTTACATCTTTCGGGAAGACCAGCTTCGAGTTGTCTTCCCTGTCGGTTGGACATTTGGGACTCCCGTCGCCTGTTCAGAGCCTGTGCCGGGCTCTGCTATTTCAGCCCGCAGGAAAGTCTAGAAGTTCGCCCAAGTGTCCGTTTGTCGATCTGCACAGCTGGATCTCCCGAATTTGTGGTCTTCCCCATAATTGTTATATGGGTATGGCTCAAAATTAAAAAGCTAGAGCTACGCAGGTTTTAGTCTTTGGTTCCATTTGCCAAGGTGCTATTTTGGCACCACTTTTTGGAGCCACAGCCGTATGTTCATGCGACTGTATACGTTACTCTGACCCTTTCAAGTGTCCCTTGGTCAATTTTCCCCGTAGAGTTTCTTGGCCGCTTGCCAGCGAGGTCCGAGGCGGAGTGGATCGTACCTTGGTTCAATGTTTTGGCTCCTGACCCCTTACCCAAAAAATGGACGTGTCTTCACATGGACCCGCAAAGTGGGGCAGGGGGTGCCCTCAAAGAGCGAAGATGACCAAATGGACGTGCACTGGCCTGGAGATAGTCTCCCAAAACCCTCAGTGCACTTGCATGACTGGTGCTCAGCTTTTTTTTGGATATAGTACCCGGGGACTCGCTCAAACAGATGACTTTCTACCAGCAGAGTATGACGAAGTTCCGGTTTTCAGGTAGCACCACGTGTGCACGTACTCCGGGCGTGTTTCGGAGCAGTGAAGTGCGAACGCACTGTAACAGTTTGGTGCGATCAGCTTAACTTGGTTTCAAGACCCCTAGAAGCATGCGCGAATGTCGGCTATGGAAGCCACTCAGTTTGGGTGCCACTTTCTGTCGAGAAGTGTTCCTAGGCTGAGACTGCGTTCCTCCAGAGCTTTCGGCTCGCGAGAGGGTCTGTTCCAGTGCATACCAACCACATGCATGTACAACATTGCGAGATATGTGTGTAGAGACTCGGAAATTGGAAGAGAGAAGTTGTACGTACCAGATATACACGTACAGTTTTGTCCACCATTTAGTCGTACATTTAGATCCGCAGAGAAGTAGCTGTGGCTTTTCTTGGGCGGGGCGCCGCTTGCATCCGCCTCGCTTGCCTCCATTGGGGCCCATGTAGCGATGGTGCTGGATCATCTCTGGCTTTCGAGGTGGGCTGGCGAGCCCAGGTGAGTCGATGCTTCTACTCCCACCCAATGGGACTCCGAATCACTTGGGGAACCACCTCCCAAAGCAATTGGAAAGGTGCAGGTGGACAAGGTGGTCCTATGAAGGCACTCCGAATCACTGGAAGAACCCGGTTTTCCTTCGTCGGTGTTTGGTTTCTCTCCTTGGTGGCTCCCAGCCATCCGGTTCCTTAGCTTTTTAGCCTTTTAGCGTTTAGTGGTAGATTCCATTTAACCCACTAAATAGCCTTTTAGTGTTTAGTGGTAGTTAAATGTTAGTCACTTTTAGCGGGGGATCAGAAAACGGGCAGCCCAGTCTCACCCACGCCGCCGCGGGTTTTCTCTTCGCTTGGCCTGAAGCTCGCACCCTGAACAGCCAGGCCCAGCAGCTTCTGGGCGGTGAAATGTGCCGGGGGGCCGATTGATCGGCCCGGGTGCTATGGCGCCAATCGGGTGCCAATCGGGTGCTTGAAGGCCCGGAAAAAGACAACAGATGCCACCTGGAGAGCGGTAAACGAATCCCAGGGAAACCTGGCCGTAAAAGAAAGGGACACGCAGCAAGGTTCTAGGGCTTGATTCCCTTTCCATTCTTTTCAACCATCGTTCTTTTCAACATCCAGCTGTTTTCCTGGGTTTTTGATGGTTTCCTGAGAAGAAGGATCCCTGAAAAGAATGGAGAAGGTAGCCCTAGAAAGGTTGCCGGAATTTGTGCCATGGCTTTGCGGTGGGGAGTGGTTAGCTTGCTTGCAAAGTTTGGTTGGCATCCACCGGGGCTGGATAGAAATATTGGTACGTGCCAAAGTATGCGTGCTTTCCTTTTTGGCTTCCCTTTAAACCAACCCCCAAAAAGGGTACCCTCAAAGAGAGTCCCTCCACATATCTTGTATGCCCATCTTATGCCGAGCTCAGTTGGGACTCAGTATTTCAGGAGTTGTATGTTGACAAATGCAGACATATGCCCCGCTACTCTACATGCAAGTAGAGCCAGCAACGCCCGGGGGCGGCAGGTTCAAAATTTAGAGCCATAGTTTTTGTTTTTTCTCTTTGCTTTTCTATTGTTCTTTCTTTCTTTCTTTCTTTCTTTCATTCTTTCTTTCCTTCTTTCTTTCTTTCTTTCTTTCTTTCTATCTCTCGCTCTCTCTCTCTCTCTCTCGCTCCCTCTCTCTCTCTCTCTCTCTCTCTCTCTTCTCTTCTCTTCTCTCTCTCTCTCTCTCTCTCTCTCTCTCTCTCTCTTCTTTCTTTCTCTCTTCTTGTTTCTTCCTGCGTTTTCTTTCTCCGATTTCTTTCTCCTCTTGCTCTTTCTTTTCTTTCTCCATTTCCTTTTTTAAATACAGACTTCAATATATTTAGTCTTTGTCTCTGTCTTTGTCTCTTTCTATTTTTCTATCTTTCTTTCTTTCTTTCTTTCTTTCTATCTTTCTATTTTTCTATCTTTCTATCTTTCTATCTTTCTACCTTTCTATCTTTCTATCTTTCTATCTTTCTATCTTTCTATCTTTCTATCTTTCTATCTTTCTATCTTTTTATCTTTATATCCTTCTATCCTTCTATCTTTCTATCTTTCTATCTTTCTATCTTTCTATCTTTCTATCTATCTTTCTATCTTTCTTTCTTTCTTTCTTTCCTTCTTTCTTTCTTTCTTTCTTCTCTCTCTCTCTCTCTCAAAGATGACTTCCAACGGGATATAACGAATAGCCTCCATTATATCCCAAACTTTCCTTCACTGTCTGTCTGTCTGTCTATCCAATGCTGGGCCACCCCACTTTTGAAACAAAAGTCTACCTCGAAAAGAAACCTGCGGCCGCGGCCGGCTTTTCTCTTTTTGCCGGGCCTTTGAACCGATTCCGAGGCGCCGGGCTTTCAGTGCGTGTCCAAGCTGACCTCGTTCCCGCCGGGCCTGGCCCTGAAAGACTGGGGCTACAAAACCTTCCGCATGCGAATCTGATACAACTTGTGCTCCGAATAATCTTGCTTGAAGCTTGCGTTGATCCTTGCATGGCCAAAAAAAACAGCGCCAATCTCATTATGTCCTCTCGGCGCATCCCTCGTTGCAGAGCGCTATGGAGTTTGCAGCTGTCCTTTTTTTGAGGCTCGGCGCCCTTTGGGGGGGTTGCTTCAAGGGGAAGCCAAAAGAAGCACCCCGCCTTATGTGGGGTTCCTAGGGCTGTGAGGGGTCAGCCTAAGAAACCTGGTCCCACTCAGCCTAAGCTTAGTAAGGCTATATTTGGGTCATACTCAAGGGGGGCCTCCCCAGAACACCCTTGCAGTTCAGAATGTTGTGAGAACGAGAGGGACTTGAACCAGTTTCTTCAGGAACTTCGCGGTATCTCCGGCAAGAGTCTCGTTTTGACCCACCCATCAGGAGTATCTGCTAGATGTAAAAACAGTGGCCGTTGCACTCCGAGATGCTGAGACTTTGACTGGGCGGAATCCTCTAGCGCCACAACTTGTCCAAAATTGAAGCCCGATTCTTTCCACCCATTCCACGGGTTTCTGACCATTGCAGAGAAGAAGGATCCCTGGAAAGAATGGGGGAGTGGGAATCAGACCGTCCCAAGCGGGCTTGTAGCGGTGCATTCTTCGGACTTACTCGTTCGCCTGTTGCAGTTTGGCATGCTTCCTTTCCAATCAACCACTTGGTACAGAACGTTGCCCGACTTAGCCTATCTTCCAACATTTGCTTAAGGATTGTTTTTTCTAATTATTATTTTGCCCTGTTGGTTTTAAAGGGAATCTATCACTACAGTTTTTTTTTGCTTTTCAACCTTTTGTCCCTTTGGTTTTCGAGGCCATGATGGTATCTACCACCAGGAACACGGGGTGAAGTCGCCGGAGCCTTAAGCCAGCAGCCTCATGGGTAGAACACCCTCAACGCTTTGTGGAGATACCCGCCCCGTTTTTCAGTTTGCGGGTGTGGGTTTGGGGCTTGGTCAGCCTTTTCGAGATTGGAGGGCGACCTTTCGAGCTGGTGGCAATGGACCGTTCTCCCAAACGGCAAGCCTTCCTCTTCCTTCTTCCGCGCGTTCGAGGTTGGGAAAAACATGACTCTGTGCGAAGTGGCTGTCACTTGCTGAGGGTTGGCTTGACATCCCCGATCAATAGGGAGGGGCCTTGGTGCACATCAGCAAACAGAGGTGCCTCTGTTTTATCTCTATTCCTTCTCTCAAACGCGGTGGAACCGCAGCCTCTTACACTGCATGAGGTCACCAGGTTGTGTTGGCCATGAATTGTTTACTTACATGACACGAATCCACCATCTGAGCAACGCGTCGCGACCTCACAGGTTTGTGTAGGCTTCCTCACCCATGCAGACCCTGTTCTCAAGGGATCGTACCTTAGGTAGGTGAAGTGTTGTAACTTGTGCAGCCCGTACGTCGAACTTCCATTTGGCTATGTTTTTTTCTTTTTTTCCTTTTTTTTTTTCAAAAAGCAAACACATGCAACAACACATATTGTTGGAGCCCTTGCACAAGTGGCAGGTGATTACATAGATCCAAACATGAGCTTTGGTTATCGGGTTGACAATACACGCATTTACCATCACCAGGTGGACATGTACACTGCCAGACTTAACCTTCCTAGCTTTTTGTTCTTGGTTTCCCTTCCCACGTTTTGGCAGCCGGCCTTGCAAGGGTTTGGAGCCGAAAAGGCTTCACAGGAGCTCAGACGTTCCATGAAGCTTGGGTGCCGTCGACCCCCCCGCAGATCTTTTTCTTTGCTACCTGCGGCATGGGTATGTCAATCCGCCGTAGAGGCGGTCCCGAAAGTTTTTCTCCGCAAAGACACCCATGGAAAAGCTTTCCCGAAAAGCTGGGGAGGAGGGGGGGGGGGGTGGGACGCGTGTGGAACCCGTTCCATGTTGAAGCAGGGAAAGAGGGACTGAACCTAGGGGTCCCCTCAAAGGAAACCAAAAGGGATGGTTTACAAGGGTCATTCCCTCATTCCCTGCTGAGCACCAGCAAGAACCAGATGCAATCCATATTTCGCGTGTTCCAACCATATTACCTGAAAATGGACCCCCGCAAAACTATGCGTGCGAACTCATTTTGGGTTCCGTGAAGATTTTGGAAGGAGCCTTGGAAAGAATGGGCCTGGACCCTCAAACTACCCCGAACATCGGGATGCTGCTAACTTGTGGGACTGTCCATTTCTAAGTGGGCTCAAACTAGGATTGCCCCGCCCAAAAAAAAAACCACAAACACAAAACACAAAAAGAGGGCGTTTTTCCTTTGGCTTCCCTGTGGTTTTTTTCCTCCTCCCGCCCTCAAAAAGGGTTCCAGCTCAACAAAGCCGCACGCCCCAGTGCCGTTGTTGAGTCACCTTAATCAGCTTGAGGATGGAGCCTACGGACCCCGACCGGTTCCGGGACTGGCTGCAGACCTACGAGGCGGACTTTTGGGTTCGAAATCGGTGCCAGAAAATCGGAGAAGTCGAGTTACAGCAATAGGTGTCCTTTTTGGTTGATTTGGTTTAAAAATAGAGGGCCCTGGTTTACCTGGTGGTTCAATATTTTCCCAAAAAGGAAACCTATGGTGACAGCCCTGAAAAGGGGGGGGGGTTACATTGGTTCCAGAAAGTGGAGAAGTCCTCTTTGAGCTGTGCATTGCACTCAGCCAACAAGGAAAAACATGTCACATGTTTGAGGCTCCAGGTGTATGACTTGCATTTCAGGCAACCCCTAGTTGGCAGTTTGGATTGGTTTGAACATGCAATCCCCTGATTGTTGTAGAGTGAAAATGGAGAACCACACCTAACTTCCAGACCAACAATCCAAACCACCAATTAAGCGTGAACCATCCAAACTCGGGCAAGTGAAGGTTAGTAAGGGACAGTCTCAGCCGCAATTGACTATGGATCTCCCTCTGGAATCTTTGAGTACTTGCTCGTACCACCACGTTTCGACTCCACCCCAGACGTGTTTGGAATTCATTTTCCTGAAAAAACGCAAAGAATCGCCAATTCCTCCGGCTGCTGACTGCAGAGTTCGGGTTTTTTTCCCTGTCGTGCGGTTCTTTGGAACCCTTTTTCCAGCTTTTGCAAGGCCTTGAGCTTTAGCTCTCTTCGAGCTTCTCCATATTTGTCCTTTTGGGCCTTTGTGCCTTTTCCCTGGGCAGGGAGAATTCGACCTCCGAGTTTTTGAGGTTTGCGAGGAAAACAATTGCCTCGTGGGTTGCTTTCGGGCCCGGCTTTCCGGGTGCCAGGTCGGGTGCCCGGCCGGAGCCCCGTGGGCGCGTTCGTGCCAGAAAGCCATTGGCCGGAAGCTTCTGGGTGTCCTTTTTGGTGGCTTTGCTCGAAAAATGGATGGCCCTATTTGGGTGTGGCTCAAAACAAACAGGAGGGGTTAGGCAGGTTTTGGTCCATGTTTCCACTTACCAGGGTTCCAGTTTGGTACCGGCTTTTTGAGCCACAGCCATTTACCAGGGGCATCTATTTCCCCCGAAAAGGACACCTATGGCCGCGAAGCCTTTTGGGAGACAGGCTTAGAGGGGTGCAGAAAGACCCTGTTAGGCTGGAGTTCAAAGCACCCGCCCTCCAGGAAGCCGAGTAGAAGGACCCTTGGGAAATTCCTTTCTCGGGGTAACATCCCTCCTTCAAAGCGGGGATATCTTGAAGGTCCGTGATCAGAGCCTCAATCTGGTTGGGTGGCTTGTTCCTTTCACAGTTCCCCTTAAAGGCGGCAACCAAAAAAACACAGAAGCTGAGGGTTTCCAAAGACAGGCGACATGTTTCGGTGGCTCAAGGAAACCAAGCAGAACGTTGACCGTGCTGAGAAAGCTCCATTTGATTCAGGATGAACTCAAAGTGTTAGTATGGCAGTTGGCTCTTGGGTCGGCCTTTTAAGACCACCTTCGTAAGGGCTTACATGAACGCGGGTGTCTTGTTTTGAGGGGCAGGCAAACCTAGGGGAAAATCGACCTTTCGGTGAGTTCCTTCATTCAGAGGACATTGAGGGGCTGGTTCGGGATGGGTTGCCACGGGAGTTGTAGTCATCTCCCATGAGTCCTTCCCTTGTGGAATGCTGCCTGGGGTCATATCTGTGGCTCAAAAAACCGGTACCAAAATGGAACCCTGCTAAGTGGAAACATGGGCCAAAACCTGCGTAACCCCTCCTGTTTACTTTGAGCCACACCCATATGCGGGGATAAAAGTCTCTGCCAAGCCCAGGCCAGAGGGAAGCTCTCGCCCGCGGGAAAGTGCAAGGACGCGGTGGGTCGAGTCTGTTTGTCTGGCGCTTCGGAGAGGACTTAACAATAAGGGGGACCACAGGGTTGCCACCCTCATGTTGCCACCCTCACGTCAATTGACCATGGCTTAGCGGCTTAGTAACGCTCCAAAGTGATGCAGGGGCACTGGGCCCCACGGATTTGGTTCGAGAGAGCAATCAAACCTGGGTCGATGAAGGGGACAGTAAGCCACACATCAGGCGTGGCTGCCTTGCATTAGTTTACATGCGTTTGGGTGGACACCTTTTGTACCAGGTTTTGATTGCGAGGCACGAAACGCGTGGAAAGGTTTGAATAAGGATGTTCCGCAGGGTTGCATCATATTACAATCATTTGCGAAACACCCTAGAATCCGTTCATTAGACCCATGTAGTATCATCCATGGTCCCTCACATGTGAGCGCTGCACCACATCAAAGATATGGCCAACTAGCCCTTGTCATATCATTGATCCACAGGTGGGTACTAATCAAGGGCAGTTGCCTGTTTAACGGGGAAGCACATGGTCTTTGGAGGATTTCTCCGAGTTGGTCCTCTAGATTGATCCGAAGTTGATCCCTTCGCATGGCTTTCCTTTTGAGTTACACCTCGAGCAAGTGGTTCCCTGTAGGTAGCGCCCAACTTTGTTGAACTTGTTGCATTTTTTTTGTTGCAGAGCCACTCGTTGGGAAGGTCTGCCGGGAGTGTCAGAGAAGGGCAATTCCCAGAAACCGGTGTTGGCAGCCTGAGGCACCTTCTGATAGCATTCTCAGCGAGACGTACACGCCTTGTCTATTGCGGGCCCGCTACTTTTTGGATCTGAGTTGTTGCTGGCTTCTAGTTTGTTCACTCTATTGGGGGTTACAACGTGTTGAATCTATGCGTTGAACGCTGTCATTATACGTGCACAGCTTCTTATTTTGCTTTCTTACTTTCTTTCTTTCGTGCTTCCTTTCTTCCTTTCTTCCTTTTCTTCCTTTTCTTCCTTTCTTCCTTTCTTCCTTCCTTCCCTCCCTCCCTCCCTCCCTCCCTCCCTCCCTCCCTCCCTCCCTCCCTCCCTTCCTTTTGGTTCTTAATCCTTCGGCTTCCTCGACAGCTCACAGGACGACGGCTCGCCGGCGGAAGAGCAAGGCGAGAGACGGGGCCCGGGGTGAGGGGATACCTTGTGACGCATCCTGTCAACTTCGGAAGAATCGTATGGGGGTGTGAAAATATATGGTTTTCCCTGTAAAATAGGTGTCAAGATAGGTGGCTTGTATGGGTGCCCTCAATGGTGGTTTTCCTTTTGGCTTCCCAGCAAACCATCATGAAAAGGTGCCTCCAAGAATGGATCCGCCTGACCCATTGACGGAGTATCTTTAAATAGGGGTGCCCTAGTGCCAGAGACACTCATGTGGATATGAATTCAATTGGGAGACCCTTTGGTGGACATCATGGCGGGGATATATGTCAACCACCTTTGAACGGGTTCCAGATTTAAAAACAGCATGAGCACCGTTTAAAAGCGGGGGTCAATTCCCAAAAGGTGGGCTTTTTTTGGCCCGGCAGCTATGGGGTTGAAATCTTGGGTTTGGGGCCGCGGCGTCTGGGAAGTCTGTTGGTGCGCGTGCGTGCGTGCGTGCGTGCGTGCGTGCGTGCGTGCGTGCGTGCGTGCGTGCGTGCGTGCGTGCGTGCGTGCGTGCGCGTGCGCGTGCGCGTGCGCGTGCGCGTGTGTGTGTGTGTGTGTGTGTCTATGTTTTGAGGGTACCCTTTGGGAGCCCTTTTCAGGTTGGTGCAAAGGGGCACCAACATGAGAACCCAAGTTTATTGGGGGGTTTTTCTGCGCTCCTTACAACTTCCAAACCCTTGTATCCGTCACGTCTTGATGCCTTGCAACAAGTTGCTCGTTGCTGGCCACAAAGCGGCGTTTGTGGCCAGACTCCGGTTCCCGCAGCTACGATTAAGACTGCCTTGTTGTGAACGTAAATAGGGGTATCCTCAGTTTCCCTCCTAAGTGGTATTGTTCTAGGGGTACCTTCCATTTCCACTGAACCCAGGGATCCTTCTTTCTAGAATCGGAAACCCGCGCAACACGTCCATCAGGATGACACAGCACCAATAGAATGAGTGGATTAGCTTTGGTTTTGCTCTGGCTTTCCGTGGGGATTTGGTGTTTGTTCTAAACAACTCCCATACTTTTGATAATTTGTTACCTCAAAAGCAAGCCGACAAGGAATGAGTTTATTTTAGTTTTTTTCAGGCCCCCCCAGAAAGAAAACAAACCAAGAGGCGGATTCTGTATTTTTTGTTTGTTTTGCGACCCCCCAACAAACCACGCCAGTTTTGAAGTCACCCCCTCGGCTTTTGTCAAAGGCTAAATATACACAGCATGGATTCCGATGGGTTCATAAACTTTTTGTGTCTCAAAATCGGATTTGGCCCCCAAAGATTGGTTTCCTGGTTGCCTTTCAAAGCTATCGCAAAAGGGTCACCCAATTCAGGTTGGTTCGAAGGGAGACCAACAGAAGATCCACCAATTCCAGAGTATTCCCATTGACTTATACCGTGGGCATATCTCAAAATTACGCTGATTTCCCTGGCTGTCCCTCCAATCAGGCAACGGCCCTTGGGGAGAAACATATTGGAGCTTGTCTTCTTCCCGCACAGCTGAAAGCTATGGGGTCAAATAGGCCCAGATAGGCTCTGGGGTTGTTTGGGGCAGCCTTCAGGGAGGGTTCTGGAAGGTTCCAGCGGGTTCCGGGGCGGTTGGGCAAACCGCCTGATCATTTTTTTGGGGAGGGGGGCTAAGACTAGGTCCCCCAGCTAGGTGCCCTTTCTCACCCCTTTTTTGGTTGGGAGGGTTCCCCTACTAAAATGGACAAAAGCGAAAAAAAATGGCACCCTTATTCTTTCCTCCTCTACGGGAGCACCTAGTAACCAACCCCAACAAATGAGAATTGGACTGCCAGCCCAGAGTAGCTGATCAGTCTCCCAGTTCAGCGCGTGTGACTCCCCAGCCGTCGTTTGGGATTGGCTTCCCCCCTTGCTCAGGCTACTGCTTTTCGGCCTCCGGGTTCGAGGCGGGCCCAGGACAGCCCGGAGTCTCGGAAAAAGGAGGGGGGTCCCTTTATTTTCGGTGGGGTGGGGTGGGGTGGGGTGGGGTGGGTGGGGTGGGGTGGGGTGGGGTGGGGTGGGGTGGGGTGGGGTGGGGGCCATGCGTCGAAATTTTGGGGATTTCTGGGTCCCCCAAAATGAGTGGGTTCTTCCATGTGGTCCTGTGGTCCATGTTCCTGGTGCGTGGGTTTGTTTGGTGGGGTATGTGTCGGGTCCCCCAAAATGTTTTTTTTCCATTTGGGTCCTTGAAACCAAGCTCAGCAAGGGTGACCGAGCCTCAAAACAGACGCGCAGATTATGGCATGGGTCGTCAGTTCCCCAATTGAAACACTCAAAAAGTAGCCATTGGGATGTCGCCTTGAAAACAGTAGGTGGTTTTCCATCTCCGTCAATTTGAGGGTCCAGGCGTGACCGCATGTGAAGCCACGTCTTCTTGTAAGCGTCGCCCCAATTCTGACGCATGTAAATGGACAAAATCATGAAAGCCAGTTGGTATGTATCCCAATCACAGAGTTTCATCCAGCAGGATTTTGTCCATCCACAGCACCTGGCTTCTTTTTGCTCCTTTTGCTTCTTTAAGGCATGGGGACGGTGTTTTGCGTGTCCGCCATGAAAAAAGGGGCAAAGCGGTGCGTTCACATGTTCAACGGGCATGCTGGAAAACTGTGGCGCTGCGTGTGTAAAACTCGCAAGAAAGAAGCCCAAAAACCCAATAGCGGCAATCTGGGAAAATGTGACCTGAAAGTGGTAATGTTGACCCCTCTTCTCACTTCCTGAGTTCCTTTATACTTCTCTGTTGTTGATAACGTTGACCCATATTAATCAACCCCTTTTTATTAGGGGGATGTCCCTGATTGGGAATCATCACTTTTGGAGGGGCCCCCACCCTATTAATAAACTAGGGTTGCTTAATACCGGGTCAACATCAGCCATCTTTTCAGACCTTTTTGGCCCACTCAGGAAGTGCATATATTCATAGGGCGCAAGCAGAGGCCGTGCCAAGAGCCGGACGAGTGCCTCTGCGTCAAGGCACTTGGGAACTGCGGGGGACGGCGGGGCTTGGCTTGGTGGGTTGCCCACCAACTTGTCATGCCAACTCCGGGTGTCGCGGTGTTTTGGGCCCCCAACGTGGTAGGTGCTCCTTTTTGGATTCCCTTCAACAACAAAAAAGGGTGGCCTGAAGCCCTTCGGGAAGAGGAGGGCCAAGTTCGGGAGGATCTCGGTGTTTGGCTCTCCCTTCGCAAAACCTTGCGGTCTCTAGGTGTTTGGCTCTCCGGGTCGGAGAGTCTTCAAGGCAGGGTTCCACTTTTTGACCACCCCAGGGTAGACGCGAAACCCAGGGATGGTTCATTGCCCAAGGAGAAGGTTTGGGTTTAAGTGTATCTTGGTCAAGAAGTGGAACCCCGCTTCAAGGTGGCACGCTAGGCGTGCGGGGTGTCTCTCGTGGGCCAGTATGAGAAAGCCATTGATCGCTTGCAGTGGACAAGTCTGGGGAGACAACAAGGGGCAAAAGATTGCGGTGGTGCAGGATCACAGGCGGCTTGCAACGGTTTGCCGTAGAGATGGACCTCTGGAAAAATTGCAAGCTCCGCATGTACGAGCGAAGGGTTTTGGGTCCCTACTGCCAGATGTGGTTTGCTCGATGGAATAGTGCACTGAAAAGGGAGAACAAAAACAAAACACCATCCTTTTTGGAAGGGTCAACTCCGAGCTTCCTTGTGGCGTCATGTTTGAAGGTTGGACTGTGGGTTAACAGAAACCACAAACTTGACCTGCTCGCTCTTTTAGGTGGCACGCAAGGAACCCTGTGGGAAGGGTTGGGGATACCAATTGTTTGAGTCTCACTTTTGGGTGTGTCACCGATTTCGAGTGAGTGTCCTTTCGGTGGGGCGACGTTTCAGTGAGAAGAACGGGAGCCCTGTGAAATAGGGCTGATTGACACGAGCGAACGTCGTTTAACCAAAGGCTCGTTCCACGAGAGTTTTAAACCTGTTAAACAATTTATAGACTGAAGCCATGAAGCCAGTCAAAGGAGCAAGCAGTAGACCAGAGGTTCAATCGAAAGGGTGAATTGCCCTGGTTGACACACATCGCATGTGGCTTGGGCCCCTTACTCTCTTTCCTTTGCGCACAGATTGTGTAAACAACAAGATTCCGCCGGCGGATTCTCCTCCCCTTGTCCCTGTAGGTCCCAGCAAGAAGGGTCCCCTATTGTGGATGGACGATTCCTGAACCTAAGAAACCCACCAACTATGGTTTCCCATGGTTTCCATTTGGTGCAAAGGGATTTCGTCCATCCACAGCAGATTGCTCCAAAACTGCGAATATTTCCTCCCCCGTTGAACGGACAGCTGCCCCCCCCCTCCCTTGTCCGCTAGGCAGACTCCCCCTACGGCAAGCTGTCCTTGGGGCACACGCGCCTTGAGAACGAGGAGGGCAAGGAGCAACCGGAGAAGTGAGAGCGAGGGCCGCTGAGGGTGGGCAGCTGAGGGTGGGTTGCATCAGGGAACACTTCGGTGGACATCATTTGGGTGTGGCTGAAAATTAAACAGGAGGGGCAAACCGCAGGTTTTGGTCCATGTTTCCACTTACCAGGTTCCATTTTGGTACCGGTTTTGTGAGCCACAGCCATTTAGCTTGGGGTTTGTCCAGCCACTTTGGGAGTGAAACTTGTAGCCACGCATGCGTGTTTTTTGAAGGCCCTTTCAGGAAAGGTCGGCGGAGTTTAGACGAGTTTCCTTTTGGCGAGCTGATGCTTAAAGTTTACGAAAGATCATTTCCATGCTCCAGTTGAACCAGGGATTGGTGGTTGAAACAGGTCCCCTCAGTTCACAATGGAGCGGGTCCCAACCTCACCATTAGTCCTTTTGGCCCCGAAAATTGCGGGTTCCTTCCGTCAATTTGCAGGGGAGGAAAAGGCAACTTGGGTTTCCATCTTCACACCGGACCTGTTATTTTTCTTCTTCTTTTCCTTTCTCTGCTCATCTCTAGGGGGCTTGGCCTTGCGCTTGCGCCGCCCATTTTTTTTCCGTTTTCGCTTCCGGCACCACGGGCCTGGACTCGATTCCATCGGACTCGACTGGAGGAGCTGTTGGAAGGCACTTACCAGGTCCAGGAGGTGACCAAGTGCCGCGGCCTCAGCTCGGCGCCCCCGCGAAAGCCAGCGCGTGAACGCACGTGTGCGCGTTCCTTTTTGGGGCGCACCGGGGTGTGAACCGTCGGCGTTTGTTCTTTTTTTGAGATTGAACAGGGTGAACAAGCGCAACACCGGGAAGGAAACCTTCGCGTTCGCCTTCCCCTGTCACTTGTTTCCGCCGGGGAACAAGCGGTAGCTGGTAGGGAACACCAACATGTTTTGCACTCCTCACTCCCTGGATTTGAGGGATCCCACCGTGACCTCGAACTTGACCCCAGATCCATGGCTTCCTTTTCGTTGACATTTGCCAACCTGCAACGGGTCGCCTCAACAAAACGCCAACCGGCCCGACTGCTCCGAGCCCGTGAAGGCCCTTGAGTTGGGGTCTCAGGTGGGATTGTTTTGTGGACGTGGCTTTTTTTTTAAATAGGGAACCTCCTGAAAAGTGGTTGGTGGACTATAATCCCCATCTAAATGATGTCCACCAAAGAATCTCCAATGAAGAATCATACCCAAATGGGTGTGGCACGTCTGGTTTAGGGACCCCTCCCCCGAAAAACAGAAGGAAGATGGTTTTCCTTTGGGTTCCCTTAAAAGCCAACCAAAAAGAGGGCGCCCCCAAAAAATATAAATGGCTGATCATTTGGGCAAGTACCTCGAGTGTTCCTCGAAGGAGGAGCCGCTGAATCCCAGGCATGTTTTGAGAAGGATTCTCCTCAAGAGAAATGAGGGACGGGGATTATAGGGGGGGGGGCTATCACCTACGAGAAGCTTGCTTGCTCACCCAATGGCTTACCAAGGCGTCTTCAAGTACCCTAAATCGGCAACCAACTTAGCAACCTGATTCCGTTGCCGAAATTCCCGCGCACCGTTTCAAGCCAAGTGTCAGACTAGCAAGCTGCCCCACATGTGTCCATACATTTCCCCTTAAAGGCTGGTTTTAAGCATCGCCAGTTGCCCAATTTGATGTGGGTTTGCTCGTGAGTTTCCCGATCGAGCGCGCTCAAACATCACCATTTGGTGCACAATGTGCTCATCATTTCAGCATCAAAGTCAACCAGGATTTGCCAGGTCACAAGGAAACCCCAGTTGCTCACCTAGAAAGCAGTCGAGCCGTCGACATATACTGACCCCAGTTAAAATGATTGTTTCCCTCTTATCCCCAAGTGGTAGCTTATAAGGAAACCCCCGTTGCTTACCTAGAAACAGTCGAGCCGTCAAGACAATTTTTGTTTCCTCTTGGGATAGGTGGGACGCTTTCCAGGGCTCCTTAAAAGATCTCCATTTTGCAACCATTTGAACCATGTTGCTTTTTCCACCCCAAAATAAAGGAATGGAAACCACCATTTACAAGTTGCAATGTTCGGGTGAATGCATCCGGATCCCTGTTTTCTCCGGCGCCGGATGTCGCCTCCCGCGAAAAATCCGGCGAAATCGGACCAGGCGACGTCTGCGAAGACCTGAGTTCGGGCCCCGGGGATCCGAATGATACGAGGTGAGCGACTCGGTGGTTTCGGGGTGGACGACCCCGCCCAAAAAATGAGGGGCTTTCCAGTCGGTTTCCGCAGAAAACCAACCAAACGAGGACTCCCCCCCAAAAAAACAGAAGAGACCCCCCATTTGTGCTCTCGTTTTTTCGGCTTTTCTGGAGTCGCAGAAAACATGTTGTGTCTTTTCGGGTTGACTATGAAACAGGCAGGATGAGAAGGCAAACTCAAGCCACGAAAGCTGGGGGACAACCCCATTTTCCCATGCCCTCTTGAGAAACACATACTTTTTGTCCAGCCTTTGGGAACAAAGAGCCGGGATCTGTACCGTGGATCGGACCTCTATGGTGCTGCGAACCTCAATGATCAAACCACGTAGACGTCGTTATTGGGTCCTTCTCCTTCCCTTTTTCACTTTCCAGGGCCCAAATGAGCCCCCAAATCCTCCATTGGGCATTTTAGCTGGTGCTGCCTGGTTTAATTGGAGTTCTGGACGTCAATTCCTCTGAGGTTTGGGTTTTTTGGAGCAACCTGAAGATCAATTGAGCTGGGAGGACCTCGATTCGGACCCCTCTGAGAGGTCTCTTTCTGGGTTGCGCAGTTTGTTCAACCCACGCCTTGTTCAAGTCATGCAAAGGGAAGCCGCAAGCAGGTGGCCAATGACAGCATAGCAGATGAAAACCGCGGCTTGTAGGCCAAAGGCGGGTGGGACTGAGGTACCAGGACCTTCAGGATATCCCCGCTTTGAAGGAGGGATGTTACCCCGAGGGGGGAATTTCCCATGTGCCAGGGTCCTTGTACTCGGTTTCCTGTTTTCGAGGGGGGTTTGCTTCTAGCTCCAGCCTAACAGGGTTTTCTGCACCCCTGCCATCCCTTCACGATATTTCGTGGAGGCCTCGGAGGGTTGCGGTCCGAACGGCCTTATGTTTCCCTTGGGCCACGGTTCGGGCCAAGAACAGGTCCCCTCTTTGGGGTGATGTTTGAAGGGGACATATGAGGTAACCCTTTGTGGGAGACGTTGTGCCGCATGTTTGTTGGCCCCCGTCGCCTGGGGGTTTGAACAACTCGAAAAGAAAGCCGCAGGAAGAGCGTGCTTCCCCTCCCCCTCCCCCTCCGGTTGTGAAGCGACATTGCCAGTATCACCATCACCGGCATCTATCCCCAGCACCGCCGCCACGCAAAAAAATGGCAGACTCTGTTGTATTGGCATCACCCGCACTTGGTATGGCCCTCCCTTGGATGATGAGTTGACAATCATGTTTGTGGAAAATGGGCTGTCAGGGCCAGTTTCTATGATACCCAGGAAACCCCGCTTAAAATAATAAAGTAGTCATGGGGTTCAATCACTGGTGGGCGTTAAAGGCAGACCAAATGACAATGAAACTGGCCATTTCTTATCACGGAAGGAGTTGTTTTCCACAACCATGTCTTACAGTTGTCGTTCTATCTGCCACAGCCTAGGCTTCGACCGCAGGCACTGCCAGGAATGCGAGCGACTTGCACGCAAGAAGGGGGAGGATGCTTTCCTGCTCCAAAGACCCAATCACCACAAGGGTGCTTCCCCTTGCGTTTCACCACAAGGGTGGACACTTGGACGCAGGGAAGCTAAATCGGCCCAGCGTTTTTTCTTTCGTCCTTTGTCCGGAAAGGAGTACTTTTCCAATCACAAGGGAAGTGCATGAAAATCCCCGCCTGTCCCTGTACAACAAGCGGTTGCTAAAACAAGCCGGAATGCTGCATTGCTTGGTGTGGGCAAAAATAGACCTTCCATGAGTGCTAAGTGCTTCCCCTTGCGTTTTGGTCCTCGCTTTCCTTCAACGGGCCTGGCAATGCTTCGCAGATGCTTCCGAGCGTCAAGGCTTTCCACTTGCGCCCATGCCAAATGCCATGTGTGGTGACAGTATGAACACCCGGTTTCCGGCCCACGTGTCCAAGCAGCCGGAGTTTTGCAAGCCAGTTGAAGGTTACCCTCCCACCAGCTAACATGGAAGTGCACAGACCCCTGTAGAAAGACTACTTTCCTCTTGGAAAGGGCCTTTTTGCGCTTCCATGTTAGTTGTTGGGAGGGTATTCCCTTGTGCCCAATTTGCGAACTATCGTAATTTGCCCAGCTACCATGGCAGTGGCAGCTGTTGAGAGGACAATTTGGATTGTGTCGTGGGATCTTTTTTCACTTTGTCGCTGGTGTTGACTCCGGTATGGCAGCCATGCGTGTGATTTGCGGCATTTTCTTCACGGCACTGTCATGCCATCCAGTTATGTGGACAAAGCAGGGGCACCTCCAAATGTTGGGTTTCCGTGGTAAAAGATCCATATGAAGGAGGTTCGCTATTTCGGCAAGTATGCAGATGACCCTCAAAACTACCCTTAAACATGCGACCTCGCATTTTGACGGGTGGTTGCAGGATCCTGGCATGGTTTGGCCCAAGCAATTGGTTGAATCAAGGTCATTGCTTTTGGGTTGTGTCAGCTCGGTTGGTTGCTTGGTTGCTTGGTTGCTTGGCAGGTGTTCGCTGTTTCTTGGTTGTCTGCAGATGAGCAAACGAGCAGGACATGGCCATTCTTTCCGCACGCCAGCGAGCAAATGAGCCGTGCAAAATGGGCCCCTAGGCCCATCCATTTGTTTGGCTGGAATAGAGTGCTTTTGGCGTTGCAGCCAAGCTCCCGTTTTTGGTTGCCACTGGAAGCTGGTTTTTCTCCGGCGAGGAACTGCGTCTTCAAGACCAAGACCTTGGAGGGCGGTCAGGGGCCCAGCGCAATTTGGCTGTGGATCAAAACCCCAAACCCCTGGTGAACATCAAAATAGGTGATCATCCACCCCAAAATGGGATCGCCATAGGTGATGCAACCGATGGCCATTTGAGGGAAATGTGCCCCCAAATCTGGGGTTCCATGTCTGAATTTTTTGGTTAAAAGGGGCCGGTTCCTTGCTCTTTGGCTTGACACGATTTTGACTCGTGGAATGGGTCATTCCCAACTCAGCAGCCAAAAGTGGATCAAAGTCAGTTACTTAGGGATAAAGGATGGTCATAACATATTTTTTAAGCCGTTTGGTCAATGGTCGTATCAGAGGATCTCGATTCTGTCTCAATCTAGGGCACCCCCCTTACCCTGCTTGCCCCTTTGGGTTCCCTTAAAATCAACCCCAGAAAAGGCACCGCCCGATTGCACTCCGATTGCACCCCATTGGGACATGGCGAAAAGGTAAGCCTTGATTTACCTCAAAAAGGTCTTGGGACTAGGAGCCTGAAAGCACCTGCGCGATCGTGGTTCTTTGTCTGTGCGGCTTGCCAAGTGGAGAGATCCATTTCTATTTTATTTATTTGTTTATTATTATTATTATTTTTTTTGGGGGGGGGAGGGTGATCGTGTTGACAAATGGGAGGGTTGTTTTCTTGGTGCTTTGTTTGAACCACGAGCTGTTTCTTGAAATCGTCTCAACACAATACCTCTTGAAGATAGCCCCCCCGTTTAGGGAGAACTCAACTCCGAGCCAGGAAGTGTTGGGCTCATGCCCGGGATCTCTGAGAAGCCCCCAGCACGCCACCGAGGTCCCCCCCCCCGTGTGACGCCAAAACGGGATCCGCGATCGCCCCACGCAGCCGACTGCCCAGAATTGGTGGAGGGCTGCTGGCCCAAAGACGGCGGCTCGGCCCGGCGGACGCACCTCTTAGGCCGGAAGCAACTGCGCGAGGGCTTGTGTTTGTGTCTTTGTTTCTTTGTTTCTTTGTTTCTTTGTTTCTTTGTTTCTTTGTTTCTTTGTTTGTCTGTTTGCTTGCTTGCTTGCTTGCTTGCCTGCTTCGGGGTTTGGGGGGCGGAGGGGTCTTCGTAGACAGTATTTGGTGCGTGATGCACACGACTGAACTGGCCGTGTTAGCTGCAAGTTGTTTTTTCCTTCTTTTTTACATTTTCCGGAATGGATCTCAAAGGAGATGGACGTGTTTGTTCCTGATTTGTTTTTTCGAGCTCCTTGTGTTGCAAGGCCAGTTATACAGCCAGCTTGGCTCAAGTCTCGGCACGAGAGGGGATCCTGTCGACTGCGCTTGAAGTGATGGAGGTTGCAAGGCGATCTGACGCGAGGCACGCTGCAAAGTCGCCCGGCGACTGGGATTGGGTCTTCAAGAAGGCCAACAAGATGTCGGCCTCGGATCTGGCGCCGCCCCGAGGACAAGACATGGGGCGCACGCTCAGCTCGCCATGCATGCTCACAGAGGAGGGTATCAAGGAGTCCATGCGGGTTCTTGGCAGCTGCCACAACCTTGACACGCCCCTAGTAACAGCTGGGCGTCAAGCAGCTGAACAGCAGGCCTCGGTCAGGCTTTCAAGCGCTGCGGACAGAAGAGCAGCTGCCGCCATCCGTGACTTTGTGCCACCGATGACCTGCAATCAAATCTATGGCTCCAGGTGGAAGACAGCCGAGAGGCCTGTGGACAAGTGGGGCAAGCAGTCATGCGATTTTTGCCTCTTTGTCGACCACATGCACAAGACCAAGACGCCTTACTGTCCTCATCTCCGTCTCTAACCATGCCGCTGATCCCAGCCTCTTTGCGCGGCCAAACCCTTTTGGCGAGCTTTGCGCAGCCAGACAGACCACGGCCGTCCCAAATGGGACTCGCGGCATCTCCGGGCACCATGCACGTTTCTGCGAAGCAGAAGACAAAAGAAATAAGTATTGATTTCTCTCCATGACAAGCAAAGTTGGACGTCGTTTGAATTTTGATGGACACTTTATTGAACATCAGGTTGCGCTTTGGACGATTTTGAACGTTGGGCCCTTTTATTAGTACGTTTGAGGGTTTGAGAGTGCGATTAGGCAATGTTTCGCCCGGAACGTGGCGCACGTGGCGCAGCGCAGGCAAGGGCGACCGCATCTTCCTGCATGGCATGCCGGTGGAGATGAAGGCGGGAAAGCCATGCTCCCTGATACGGAGTTCCTCAACACAGATACACTTTGGCCGCATTTATAAACTACATCTCCTGCTGTTTCCGAGGATGTCGTGCCGACATGGGGATTTTTTGGCGTATCCTAGGGATCCTGAAAGATACCTTCAGTTTCCAGCTGATGTAGATCCAAGCCGTAGAGTTTTGGGATGCATTCAAGGAAACCTGAACAGGGAACCCTGAAAAGGCCTTTTGCGAAGTGCCCTAGCTAATTTTTGTTGTGGCAGAGTCCAGTCACTTGCCTTTGAGTTGGGACACCCTTTCCTCTCTCCGAACCTTTAAACAATTACAAAACCTGACGGGAATAAACTTTGTTTTGGCACTTTTGCAACATGGATGGATGATTCTAGTTAGTGACCCAAACAGAAACATGGAAATGCACAGGAACCCTTCCCAAAAGTAAGGCAGCTTTCCAAAACGTTGCACCAAGCCAAACTTGCTGGAGGCTAATATGTGCAATTCCCTTCTGGCAAGCCCATCAAGCATCTATGTTGACCCGCTCCCCAATGTTGGGATGTGCTGGCAGTTGCACATTCGACCCTTTGACCATGTTTTGCCTTTTGGTCTTGGGGTAAGCCTCGGCGGTTGTTCGACTAGATGAGCTGCGGATGGCCGAAAAACACAGTGTCCTTTTGGACAAATAGATGGCACGGGATCGGAACCAGACTGAAAGTGCCAAACAAAGCCAGAACCAGAATGTCTGTTTTTCGAGTTTTGAGGTCAGCCTCCGCCCATCGGCGGGCACAACTGCTACCGAGGAACATTTCATGTTCACCATGCGCTCGCTCCCTTTCTGGGGGTCACTGGATGTTGTTTTTTGACCACTGGGAGGTGACGGCATGAGTCTAACAGGTGAGTCTTAGAGCGTGAGCCCCGTGGGGCGTCTGACGGGGACAGTTTTAAGCATCTTGGTCAACTTGCAGTGCCGTGGAGCTCATCTCCGTGGGGCCTCTGATTCAGAGGGGGACATCTGGGGAGGCCCGCGGCATTGAAGGGGGGGCCCGGGGGAACCCAAAGGCAATTGGAAGCACAGTGGCTTAAACCACCGTGGGCTGAACCGTGGTGGTTTAGACCATAGTTATTTACACCGTAGCGTTTTTTTTCTCTTTTTTTCTCCATGATTCAAACAAAGGTGTAAGTCGCCCAAAATTCTAGGCCAGCATGTGGCTTGTGGTTGCTGAGCCCATCGTTGTTCAACACGTGCAGGACATGACCATCGTGCCGCATTACAACATGCGGGGGGGCTCAGCTCACTTCCGTCAGTTTTGTTTTGTCATGTCACGTAAAAAGAAAACAAAAATTGAGTTAAAACAAACAGAAATGTAAAAAAAAGACAATAAAACAAATGAAAAAACAACAGGCGGGCAAAATCCACTTTGCACCAGTTGATAGGAGGTTTGTCCCGTTTGGTTTTTCTTTCATTTTTTGTCCTGTGCTTCATCCATCCCAGCGAGACCGGATTTCGTCCATCCCCAGGGAGTGTCATGTGTCTTTGGAGGGGGCGCCCTCTTTTGGTTGGTCTTTTTCTGCAAACCAAGGTCCCCCAGTAGTCCCTAGTCCCCTTTTACCCTTTTTTGCGGGTTCCCCTACTAAAATAGACAAAACCGAAAAAGTTGGTGCCCTTATTCTAACCTCTCAAATCTGGAGGACCTAGAAAAGGGACCCCACCATCTTTTGGGTCCTTTATGAGGTAAGCCCAGTTCCAAAACTCTCAAACGTCAACTCGCCTCTGGCGGGGCCTCGGGGAAATCTTGAGAATTGTCCGAGAGCCAGTTGAGCCATGTGTGACTCCGTATGTTTCTCTTTTTTGGGCACCCCCGTTTTGTGTGGTTTGATAGGATTCGAATAGGAACGACCACCCATTGTTCAGGTAAGCTTTAGTTGCTGGTTTGGATTGGCGGTTGGGGGATTTGAGTTCCTGGTTCTTGCGGAAAATAGATAATCCTTATCCACCAAGCAAATCAGAAGGAAGCTGAATTGTGGTTTCCGTACCCCGAAAAAGACACACTTGAGTTGCGCCAAGCGCTGTAGTCGAGAAAAAAACTCGGTATCTTCCCCACGCCAGCGCAAGAAGCTCGCCTGGCGTTTTTGTTCTTTTCTTCCGGGAGCAAACGAGCAGGGCTTATGTAATTTATCACACCTCAACTAGCAAATGAGCAAATCGGAGGTTGCCATGCAACAGCCAGCGGACATAATTTCGGGCAAGCATAAAACCGCCAAATACTATCAACCTGAAGTATCAACCCAATGTGAATGCTGTATGCATCAACTGATGCAAGCAACAGCCCAGCCTCCCATCCAAAACCCCCTCGAACGACGGGCTGAACCTTTCCACCATGCCGAAGTTGAAGGGAGATGGCTGTTCAAAAGGGCCGCCTCCCAACACGACGTATTTTTTTCTTGGACCCCAAAAACGGATATATGTACATATAAAAATATATATATATACATGAATCTACATATATATATATGTATATGTAAATATATACATATATATATATACACATAATATATAATGTAATCTTTGGTTGGACCCGCGAAGGCGGATATTGTTTGAAGCCAGCGGGGAACCGTTGCGAATGTCTGGTCCACCTTTGAATGCTCTAGCGAGGTTCGCGCCTTTAAGACTCGGGAGCCCAGCGAAACATGTCCTGGGATTTTCGGACGCGACGACGGAAGGGGGTGACTTCCCAGTTCTGAAGCGGCTCCTTTCCGAGAAAGCCACCTCAGCATGGGGAGGCTTGGTGGAAGAGAAAATTCTTGGACTCTCCGGGATGGCAGAAGATTCTCTTAAAGGATACCCAGCAGTATATCGCCGGGATGTCAGAAGCAAATACTCTTGAAAGGATACCCTGCAGTACATTTGTCTAGACGGAGTTGGCATTCTCAGAACCCCTCAACCTGGACCTCCAAACCCTTGAACATGGTGATGACTCAAACTTTTCGGTGCGAAGAAGCGGTTTTTTGCCGCAATCAAAAGCCGGGTAGATGAAGGTTGGTAAGGGACACTTCTTAATTCCTCAAGCATGGTTCTGGGTAGACCATGTTAGTACCGGGTTTTGATTGTGACTCACATGTTCGTTTGGGGGTCCGGTTGACACCATTCCCATTTTTCCCACTCAGGTGGGACCCGGGGGAAGCGGCTGATCCTGTGGGCGATGAGGCGGATGGGATGCCGTGCCATTTTCCATCCCCCCCGAAAGTCACCCGGGTTCGATTTAGGATCCTTTAGGGCCATTTGTTGAGTACATGGGGCCATTTAGTCTTTTTCTTCATGCCTCTTGGGCCACTTAGGGTTTAACAAACATGGCCTTTTTTCCCCCTGCATGCAGCAGGAAAGCGCTGGGTTCTTCTAGTGGTCACAACCCCAAACACACCCCCACACTCCCAGAAAGCTGGCTCGGTGCGTTTCTCGGGGTGGTGTGTGTGCGGCGGCCAGGGGGAGGGGTGGTAGTCGTTGGGAAGATGTGACCAAACGTGGCCCATGCCTGCGTGCGCGGGGCGTAGGAAAGGGGAAGCGGAAAAGGAGCAAAGCTTGAAACAAGATGGATATGGAACTGATCACACAAATAAGCTCGTTTTAGTCAATGAATATTATTTTAATGAAGGATACGGATTCAGCACAAATAGTAACGGATTATCAGCTTGGTCTGGTCTTCCTTTTTTCCCCTTTTCTGGAGTAAATTAACATTCTTTGTTTCAAAGGTGCCATGTTCCTTTCTCTGTCCCTTTCCGTTCCTTTTCTCAGTTCTTTTTATTCTCTGTCTGATGTTCCTTTCCTCCTTCGAAGCAGGTTCTTTTTCCTCGGCTCTTCTGATTGCTTCTGTTCATATGTTCCTTCTTTGCCGTGTGTCTCCGGGAGAGACTCTGCATTCTTATTCATTCCTTTCTCTCCCATGATCTTATCTGGAATTACTTTATGTCTGATTATTCACGCCTGGCGAGACAAGAGAAGCCAGGGCTGCGGTGGCAAAAGAGATGGACAGAGATGGACAGAGATGGAAGGGAGTGGAAAGACTGAGGACAAAGCGAAAGAACGTGGGGAAGGAAACTTGCTGGTGCGATAGGGAATGAGAAATGGAATGAACCCAGTTGCTTTGGTCCCCTGAAAAAGGAAATTACCAGCTTGGAGCTTCTTTTTTTTGGGGGGGTGTCATGCCATTCCCTCGACTTTTTGTGCCGATCTCTCGCACCGATTAAGCAAGACACGCGCCATAAGATTTTACCGCAGCCCTGGCTTCTCTCGCCAGGCGTGAATCAGACAGAGAGTAATGTTCACTGTTCTTGGCATGTTTTTTTTTTCCTTCTCATTTTTACTGGGGGGGGGGGGGGTCTGCAAAACACAGTTTTTCGCTACCATACCAAGAGTAGAGATGTATTTCCAGAGATCATGGGAGGGAAAGGAATGAATGCGAATGCAGAGTCTTTCCCGGAGATTCCCAGGGCGCCAGGAGAATTTGTGGAGAGCGACTGGGCGAGTTTCCGCGCACCCGGATCCAAGTTGCGGTTCCTTTTGGGGGTCCCGGCAGAGCCCTGAAAAGGGGCCCACGGAAAGAAAAAAAAAGCGTTTGCAGATCGGCGTTTCTCAAAATGGGTGGCTTGGACCTTCAAGCCAAATACATCTTATTTCTGAGCAATATCCAAAGGGCTCTCACAATCTTTCACAGGGCTCTCTCCAAAGGTAAGGGCTCTCGCAATCTTTCCAGTTTTGCTTTCAACCCCAAACCACAGTTAGGGCACCCTTTTCGGGTTCCCAAAGGGCTCTATTTTTTTGTACCGGGGCGGGCACAAAGTCAACTTGGAGTAAGGCTCCTATTCTCTCGGGTTTTTACCAGCTAGGCTCAGGGGATCGCTCCTTGAAACGCCCAACTCCCCCCCCACCCCCACCCCCCAACCCCTCCCCCCCAAACCCCGCAACCCCTCCCCCCCACCCCCCAACCCTCCCCCCCCAACCCCCAACCCCAACCCCCCCCAACCCCAACCCCCCCCAACCCCACAACCCCCCCGCATCTCCCTTTTGTCAACGTCGTGGTCAGGACAGCCGCGAAGTGGAGGACCAACTGGCCACCGCCAACTTGCAGGGCCCGAGGATGCCGTACCAGCCGCCCCCCGAGCGGCGAGGAGCGCGCGCTTTTGGAGCGCTTTTGGGTTTGACCGGCGCTGAAAGCATTCAGCATACTACCCTCAAGTGTTGCTTAAGCCTAGGTCTTCCCAGTAGTGCCCTTTGACCCTTTTTTGGGGGAGGGTTCCTCTACTAAAATAGACTACAGGAAAAAAACCGGGTACCCTTACTGGAGGACCTAGTAAGGATAGATCCAAAGACCTGCTTTGCAAGTCCTCAAAGCCAGTTGGTGAAGGCGACTTGCCGTGTACCCTTTCACGGGGCGTGCCAAAGCCTCAAGCATGCGCTTGATCCCCACGATTGTGCCAGGATTTCCCGTTTGTGCGGGTGGGTTGAAGGCCCAAGTGCATGTCGGACAGGTTGAGAATCAGATTGAACCATGGCAATTTTCAGATGCATCCTTCAGGGACTCTGTGTTTCACTAATTCAAGTGAGCTCCAGAGTACTTGACAAAGGCGGGTACTAGTTAGTTCCATTCCAAATCCGGGACCCTTGGTGTCCCGGAAAACGGGGATTGGTTTTCTTATGTATCGGCAGCACCCAATTTTGCGAACTAGCATTGCCAATGGCTATAACTGGTGCACCCCGGCCAAAAGCGTGACTGGATATGAATCCCCAACTCCAATGCCCAAGGGATCTATAAAACATCACTCCCACATGGCACGTTCCCCGATTTCTGATGGCAGATCAGATCGATGGCGTAGCCCTTCTGAGAGGAACTTGAAAGGGTTCAGTTGGAGAATGCGGAGCGACCCCATTTTGCAGGTCCCTATGATATTGCATGAGCTTCAACTAGGGTGAGCGTGGTTTTTTCTCCTCGTTGGGGACAAATACGCAGCCAAACAAGGGCACCAGTTTCGGGCCTGAGTCGCCGGAAAGGGGAGACCTTGTTCACCTGGGTTCGTCCGATTTTGAGGGGTACTGTAGCTTGTTCTTTTTGGGTTTAACCCCAGAAGGAACACCGAAATCCAAGGATTGGTGGAAAGGGTTGGGCAACACTTAGAGCTGTCAAGAAGTATCCCCAAGAACCCGAGAAGCTCAGAACGAACATTGTTGACAGTTTTTTTTTGGCACAGGTGTCCCCATACACCAAGCAAGCAGAACCAAGTAGTCAGAAGACTCCGACCTTTGAAGTAGGTGTCCACTTACCACAAGCAGCCTTGCCGAAAAAAAAACACAAAAAACAAAAAAACATTCAGATCTCAAGTGGCTGGTGCTTGGAGGGGCAAAATAAGACTATCGCAGCGTCTCTTCCGCCACTCCTCAGAAGCACGCCTGCAGCATCCCGCAACATCGGCGGAATTGATGGAGTGCAGATGTGAGGGTTCTGTATTACACCCTGGGATTACACCCTTGGGAAATAACCCAGAATGTAATAACACGGTTTTATCCGGAAATGTGCCTAAATGGGGTCAATACCCAGTGGGTGTATTCCCAGGGTGTATTACAAAAACCCTTAGAGCAACTGTGAGGACCAGGCTGGAGTCCTTTCCTTTTTGCGCACTCGAAATGTGGTCCCCATGACCATTTGCCAACCGTCGGAAAGACACCCAGAAACCACGAAGCTCAGGCCCGAACGAATGTTGGTTGGAGCTGGGGACCGTTCCCGAATAAACCCTTGGGAGGCTTGAATGCACCTCATCTTACGCGGTTCAACAGCCTCATTTGCCTTCCAATTGACTCTAACAGAGGCCTGGATCCACCGGGCGGAAAAAAACAAAAACAAAAAAACACAAAAAAACAGTTAGCCTTTGGCTGCTTCTCCAGAAGACAGAGGCCTTGATCCACCTAAAAACAACAACAACTGGCCTTCGGCTGCTTTTCCTGAAATGGGTCCGAAGCAACCCTTCAGGCTGTGCCTGGAAGGGTCCCTAGCTCCACTAGATGTACAGTTGATCGGTATGTTAAGAAAACTGCGTGTTTGGAGGGTCTGGAATAGGTCTTAAACGCTGATGGGGGATAAGAAATGGCGGTGTCAATCCAGAGTCTCAATTGGATTTCTTATTGTCATACAATGCTACCCCCCCCCCCCCAAAAGCTCTCCCCCATCAAAGAGAAACAAAGATCTGAGATCCAAATCAGCTGAATCGGGGTCCAGGCCCCAAAACAGCTGTCAGACATGGATTTGGCAATGCCTTTCTAGCAATGTTCTAGTTTTTGCCAGGTGTTGCCGACATTTCCGAGTTCGAAGTCCCCTTTAATTAACGGGCATAGGCTCCGGCATCCACAAGAAGCAGCTTGGTTTGAGAGCTGCGTCCAGAGATTTGTGACTTGTGGGTCTCAAAAATATATATTTCTGGTTCATTCGAGGCTCCGATTTCTTGCTTCGTTAAACAAGTCTTGACACACTGACGGACCGTGCTGCTGCGGAGTTCTAGAGGTGTCTCAACCCCAAAAAAGACACCCAAGGATACAGGGAAACCAAAAGAAGATCAAGTGTTCTAGATCGCCAAAAAAAAAGGATCAACTGTTCTAGAGCGCTATTCCCCTCCCCCCCCCCCCACACCCATTAAAAAAACGCTTCGCTGTTGGCGTGTTTTGCTTTGTAGTGCGGAGGGTTTTCTTTGCCCACTCAGGTCCCGGCGGGAACCGCTCTCCCGGGACGGCTGGCCCGGCCGGCGAGAGTTGGGGAGTTTTGGACCAAACACCGACGTAATTCGCCGCTTAAGACGGGGCGTGTAACCGCGTGGTGGACCATCTTCTCTTTCTTTAATGCTTTATTTTTAGTGTTTTTAACGTTTAGTGTGTGTGTGTGTGTGTGTTTGTTTTATTATTATCATTATTATTATTATTCTTATTATGTTTTTTGGGACCCATATTTTGTCTCACTGCTGGCTTGGAAGAGAACCGGGGGAGGTGCCCGCTGGAGCAGAGGCCGCCCTGACCAGGCTTGCCCTGGATGGTGGCAATAGCGGCTGGTATCTGCATCGGAAAATCACGGACCCTCTAAAAGGATGGCATTTCCCGCAGTCTCCCAAAAAGGGGGTCCTCCCAAAAAGGGGATGGCATTTCCCGTAGTCTGCCTTTAAAACCAACCAAAAAGGGGGTCCCCCAAAGAAAGACGCACACATATCCGTACCGGCCCTTCAAGCCCTCTAGGTCCGCGGCGCGGATTTTTTTCGATGATTTTCGGCGAAGCGCGCCAGGCTCACCTTCTACAAGAATGTGGCGCCGAGGGTTCAGCAGGAAATGGACAAGGTTGTCGGGGAAGCCAAGCCAAGCGGGGACGAAGGGCCTTCCTCGGACTTGCCACCCCTTTGTTTTATTTTGTGTGTGTGTGTGTGTGTCTGTGCTGTTTTTTCTTTTGTAGAAAAACCTCTCAATATTCATCGAGCGAGTTCAGGCTTACATTCATGGGTATGGCCCCGAACTGGTCAATCTGCATATCCACCTCGCCGCAATGATCTGGAGCGACACCGGCAACCCCTGCCGAAGGGAATTGTAGGTGCGGCAAGAAGCGCTTTCGATTCGCCTTGACCCCAAGACCTTTTGATGGGGAGGAGGGATTGAGGGGCATGCCCGACCCTCCGGTGCACAAACCCCTTGAGACGATGTTCTCCTGGAAGGAGCCTGTGCACATGTCTAGTAGCAAAGTAGGGTAAAGTAATTGAGAAATCCAGTGACTCCTAAGGTTTTTCAAACTCTGGTCTTGGATTTTTCCACAAGGGATGTAAGGTCGCTTCGTTTTTCTCCCTATCTGACAACTTTGGGCAATCATTTTCAAGTTGCATGGACAGCTGACAGTGCAACAAGTTCAATGCGATGCATCGCCTCAGTCAAAGCTTTCTGAGGTTCGGCCAGATTTGTGTGTGCATTTGGCAGGTTCATGGGGGGACGAGCTCTAACCTGTTCCAGAAATCCCAACTTGTTGGCGTTCTTGAACCACACACGCCCCATGTGACTCGATTGACATATTCCCTCACCCTCCCAGCGATGGTCCAGAATCAAACTTTGCAGTGACATCCTCACGTCCAGTCATCTGCGAGTGCAGGCTTATACGTATTACTTCTGGGACCCCGTCTAACTTCAGATTCCAGCTTGCACCAAACGAGAATCAAGCGTGCATCCTAGAACCCGTTTGAAAGCGACCCCATTCAGAGTCACATGGCCATGGGTCATAACCTATGGCTCCAGTTTGGTGCGGATGAACACCCATGTACCAGCCATCTTGATGTTCACCAGGGGTACAGGGATTTGACCCACAGCCACGCGACCATATTCACTTCCACTTGGTTAAGTATATATTTTTCCCCCCTGGTTTTCAAGGGAATCGATTTCACTACTGGAAACTTATTTTCTTATCTTTTCTCTCATGGGACTTAAGCAAATGGAGGTTCAGAGTCACATACCTTGAGCTCTTAGGCCCAAAACACCATCGAAGCTGGAGAGAAGGCCCGGATTTTCTGGGAGCACCTGGTCATTTGCAGCTGCATTCTTTTGTCCCTTGGGCGGCTTCCCCAGAAGGAGTTGCCTTTCTTTCTTGTTTTTTGGGTTTTGGGGGGTTTCCCCTTTGTTTTCCACTACCAGGCAAAAAGTATCATTTTTTGCAGGGGTCCTAATTCCAGCCAAGAAGGACAGGTCAAAAGGAGCACCACCATTTGGTTGCGGGGGGGAGAGCCCTACAAAAAGACACACCTTGATCTCTGAAAAAGCGGCAAACTTGATTCGCGTATGCACATATATATATATATATATATCTATATCTACATATATATATATATATATATATATATACATATTTGCCCCCCCCCCTGCATGCCAATCACGACTGGTACAAATTCATGAATCGCAAGATGATTTCATGCACACTTGAAGATCACCACTTTTTCCTGACCCCCCCTGCTCTGATTTCGCAGCTCTTTGCACGCAATGTATCGTTTAAAGGTTAAATTCATCATGATACTTGACTCCGCACACGTTGTTTGGGGATAAGCGTTGCCCGGCATAGAGATTATATTTTGCTCAGCAACTGAACCCTCCCCCCCAAAAAAAACCAAGAAGGACAGTGCCCCCATACTCCCCGCTAGAAATGGCATTTGGTGTTCCTTGGTCATCCCGGAGGGGCTGAAAGCTCACTGCAAGAATGGCTCGTTGTTTGGAGTTCGATTTCGGGCCAGATCGCCTTTGGGCTCTGCCAGTGACCGGAATGGAGCCTAAACTTGGAATTCGCGCATTGACCACATCGTGGGATTCTTCGCTTTTTTGCTGTCTGGGTCGAGGGTTCCAAGATGTATCATGGTGTCCACCTCCAAACCACTATCCCCAAAGGAAAATGGGGGTTTGCAACCAGAGAACACATGATCAAAACAAGCCCAGTTGAAGCTTATGGGGGTGTCCTATCTAGGGGAGCCTGCACCTGGCCCCCTTGGGTTGATTCATCGCGGATGTTGACCGAAGCCGGGAAATCCTGCGGATGGTTGCGAAATCCACTTCGCACCACAATTTAAGAAACCCTGGAACAGTGATTCCCCTGCAAATGCCAACAAAAATGATTTCAACCCTGGTTTCATTTCGTGGTGCCTAAGAGGAGATCGCAACCATCCACAGCTGCGTTCCCACTGGGCCTTTTTTTGCCTCATGAAGGATCATTCGAATCCGTCCGTGCATCCGGAGCCTGCGGGCTGCATTCTGTGGTGCCAGAGGAGTGGATAGTTCTCCAAGGGAAATATTGTTGTACCCCCAAGGCCATCTTGGGTGGTTGAGTGTTACCACCATTGTACTTACCACTCCGTGGATGCCTTCTTCGGGGCACAGGTCACCTGAGCCACGTGCACATGAGAACCGATTCGGGTAGATGAAGGTAAGGTGGACGATCCCCTGGCCAGAAATCGATGCGGATGGCCGCCTTCTGAAGATTCTTGAAGCATGGTTCTGGGTAGACCGTTTGAAAAAACCGGGGTTGAGTATGACACAGATGGAATCTGGCAGACCCCTGTTCTGGTGGTGTTAAGCCTTGCCTTTTCGAGAAGTGATCTGTGACATCTAGCTACCTGCGCCTAGGTGATCCGCAGCAACTCTTTGTATCACGTGTGGTTCCAAGCCTCACTCAAAGATTGGGGGCCCTGGACCGCAGATGTGGTCTCTTTTTGTCTACAAAGTGAGGGTTGGAGGCATCCAACCTATTTTTGAGCAGCCAAGTGTAAAGTTAGACGCCAGTTTCCTTCCCATGGATCAACTCTCTTGTGCCGATCTGATCAATTGGAAGCACCCCGAGAGGAAAATTGAGGGAACAAATCGCCAATGCCCATCTGATTCAAGCCCCCGGTTTCAACATCGAGCCTATGACCTCGACACCCTCTGCAGAAGCCTGGGAAGGCGGGGCGTGCAGCCTGCGAGCACAAGCTGGGCTTGGTGCCCCAGTATCCGGTGAATTTCGGGGAGGGGTTGAGGAGCCGCTGGGAACCCAGGAGAAAGCTTGAGCCATGGGGCTTTCTGTTACCGCTGGCAACAAGTCATCCTGAAGGCTTACACTTCGAGTCCCTGGGGAATTGATATCACTCAACGGGGCACATATGGCCATGGGTCGAAACCCAAATCGTCCCCCAGGTGAACATCCCAAGCCAACCACTAAAATAGGTACTAAAATGGGGGGTGCACCTACCCCAAAATGGTAGCATTGGTTTTGACCCACAGCCATATATGTTATGCATCCCGCGTCAGATAGACAGAGTGTATCCTTGCAATGTCTGGTGCGGGTTTATGTCCGGGCGTGTGACGCATGTGTAGTTGTTTTCAGATGGTTTTTGTCCCATTGTCTGAACACTTGGGGCTGGTGGTGTTAGGGCTGGTGGTGGAAGCAGCCGCTTGATCTCTGGACTCAGAGCCAGGAAAGATTTAAAGATGGACTGCAAGAAGCCTCGGGGAAGCTTTGAACCTTTGCACCCGAAGTTCGAAGTTCGAGGTACTTTGACCCCATTTTCCTCAGAGCACCCAATAATCGCCAGGAAGCGATAGATCGGAGGAGGCAACATTCGGAATACACATACACATACACATTGTCATTTTCACATTTGGCACAGGCAAGAGTGTTTGTCTGGCCAAGTGTCAATTTGGGGCCCCAAGATCCCAGAAACAGCTTCAGCAAACTATATCTTTGGGGGAGGGTACCATATATATATATATATGTATATGTATAGATATGCTCGGAATATGCTTTTTGACGGTCAGGGGGGGGGGGTTCCTGGTGCGTGATGCATATTGGGACTGTGGTTTACTCAGCACTTGAGAAGGGTATCCTACGAGGTCCTCGTACACTATAACCGTATCCTGAGCGACCGAGAGCAACAGGATGGTTTGTAGTTGTTTTTTTTCCCCGTCAGGATGGTTCCATACGAACGGACAAAAAACGGAGGGCATCGGATTTGGGCAGTTTTCTGGTTTTCTGGGCATTCGGCTTTGGAGGTTTTGAAACGAAGGATGGCTGAACAGAATCAACCCCTGCCCTCCTTTGCGCGAACTTGCATTCAGTCTCTTCAACAGCAAATGGATCCTCCAATTTCCCTCCCGCAGATGCCTTCTGTTGGAGGGACGGGTATACGTTTCAGTTGAACCAACCACCTACCTCGGCAGCGAGTGCAGCCTGCCAAGGTCATCGCCTGGGTTTGGGGCTCAGATGGAAGGTTTTGGTTTGGTCTGGGCGTGTTGTGTTGTTCGGAGTTTGGTTTTCTTGCTGGTGCGATAGGTAGGGAATGAGGGAATGAGCCTGGGGATTACCTTAAAGGAGAATCATAGGAGATGGTTTATACAGTTCATTCTCTCACTCCCTGCTGAGCACCGGCAAGTTTTGAGCTTGTCTTGCGACCACGGAAGGAATTTGCAGTCGTGAGGCGCAGACATCCCGGGGAGGATCGAGAAGGCACAGTCGCACGGGCATGCGGCGGACGTTGGGTTTCTTCAAGAGCCCACAAGGATAAAGGGAAGCCAGAATGGGTACCCTTTGTCCCACTAACCTGGTACCTGTAGGAGAGTACCTGGAAGATCAGTTTCCACTCAAACCACCTTCTTCGGGGTGCCATGTTAGTGGGAGAGGGGGTAACCTCATGGTTGAGTGATGGGGTACGAGCGGACCTATTCATTTACCAAATTGATTGCTCTGGGGTCCAACAAAAACCAGCTTTCAGGGAGAGCGTTCCCCACAACAGGGCTTCTTAAAAGATCTCCATTTTGCAACCAGTTGAAACATGTTGTTTTTTCAACACCAAAATACAGGGACAACACCATTTACAAGTTGCAATGTTCAGGTGTATAATGTAAGGATCCCTGCACAAAACCCCAAGTTTTCACGAGCTGCATTGCTGACCAGGTGTTAGATGCTTGTCCAGCTTGACCGCTGGATATGTTCCGATTGCCCCCCTCTCTGAGCCATCTGTAGTACAGGGTAGTACCTTGTTTGGGGGGGTGTACCCCTTTTCTTGGTGTTAAAGGGACGCCAAAAGGAACACCTCCATTTTAAGGGGACCCTATACAAAGGTGGTGGATACCAAAAGGAAAGCAACCGGGGGTACCCGATACAAAGGACACATCCTCAATTTGAAATTGCAAGGCCTTTGAACGCCTTCGCAGCTTGGTATCAAGAATCCACTCAGGGAGGATTGGTCGCCAGGAGTTCAGGTCGAGCACGTTGAATGGAGGGAAAGTAAGCCGAAAAGCCACCCCTTGAGGTGTTGGGAAGGAAGCTTGGAGGCTTCCAAACTTGGGTTTGACCTTTCAAGCTTCACCGGGCTCGCCTCTGGACCGTTTCTCTTGAAAACTCGCCCTGGCGGAAGGGCGTGTCAAGGCAAAGCCTTCAAGCTTTCTCTTTTTCCGGGCAAAGCACCGGGGGAAAAAAAACAAAAAAAAACAAAGAAGCAAAAACAAAAAACAACGAGGGTGCCTACAACAGCGGCACACCCCGCTGGAATCCCCATCGGCCGCTTCCCAGAGTCGGAAATCGAAGCGACAAAAAACGGGACTGAAGGGCTCCGGATGCCTCATTTCAGGTCCATGGCGTCAGGAAATCAACGACCTCTGCTAAAGCATGGGCGCGCTTCCGTGGCTTTTTTTGGGGGGGCAGTGTGCGGAGGTTCGGGATCTCTATAAGATTCAAGATGTTTTTTTCGAATGGCGCCAGGGCTCCGAAAGAGGCTCAGAATCCGACCAGCAGTCCGATCAGAACTCCCGTGGCGATCGTTTTGGTGAATTTTTCTGGAACCCTTCCAGTTTGGACACCTCCCAGGTTTAGCGGACACCACCCAGTTTTTGTGGAGACCACCCAGTCGCGGAAACCGCCCTAAGAACCTTTCGGTGCCTTTCGTTTCACACCCCGCGTTCGCTTTTTCGGGTTGAACACCGCGACGGACAGGCGGCCGCCGTGCAGAACGCCTGCAGGGGACCCAGACAAGCAGCTCCGACGGGGTTCTGGATCCGGGCTTGGGGAAATCACCACTGGGCCTGGCACTTGGCAATCACAAGGGCTTATGTTCTTGTTTGGTTCCTTTGGGTTTCAGTTTCCTTGGCTTGTGTTTTCGTTTGATTCCTTTGGGTTTCAGTTTCCTTCAGTTTCCTTTTGAGTTTCGCTTGGGGATTTTCATGGGTATGTGTCAGAATAGGGGCACCCCCCCGAAAATGGTGATTGGTTTGATGGTACCATCCATCTTGGTTTCCTCGTAAAGAGAGACACCCATCTTATGGGCTGCAACCCGTTTCGAAGTGGGGAAGTCGCCATGGCAACGGCCCAATGGCAACGGGTCAAGTGTTGCGGCCCATCACGCCGTCATTGCCCTGTAACATGAGGTTAAATGTGGACAAGTCAACATCAATCTGAGGAAGGACATTCTGAAGCTCCTGTGATTTGCGTAGTTTCAAGCCTCCTGTTGCTGTTTCAAGCAATCTGTGGTGCCAAGTTTCAGAGATGTGGAGGTACACAAACATGGGAGACATAAGCACCAAAGTTAGCTGTCCCATGTTCACATCGATCTTGGCTCACGTTGCTCTTGTCACGGCCCCGAAAGGTTTCGCTAGGAGATCAAGTTGTACACAAACGGGGGCTGCTCTGCAAAAAGAAGGCCCGGTCTCTTTTTTTGCCAGCGCAACTCGGGTTGATGCGTTGACTTTCAGAGCCATCCTTTGTTTTTTCTCCTCTTGGTCGGAATCCAGCTAAAGCAGGCCCCCTACGTTTCCCTGAAGGGAGTGCTCCAAATCCCTACATTTCCCCCTACATTTCCCTAGGGATTTCCTCAAGTGGGTGAATCTGGGAAGGCGGCGCTCGTGTTTTTTTCTTCTCCCCCGTTTGCCAGGTCTCATTAAACACCGTCGAAAGCAAAGGGGGCGGTGGATGGTGGGTGTTATGGGAAGGCCGAAGGGAAGACAACGATTTTGGGGTCCCCCGATCTTGACGCATCCCCAAAATGGCCAGGAAAAAAAGAGAACACGGCAACGCAAAGGTGCGCAGTGACAAGATCTGGAAGCGATCGTGAAGCAAGAGTCAACTATGAAAGGGACGAAGCCGCCTGGAGCTTTGGGGCGAGAGGCCCTGCCAGGCTCTCGCTTTACCTGTTTTTTGGGACCCATGGTTTTAAGCCGCCACAGACGGCTTGACGGCTTGACGGCTTCCATTCTCAGACTGTACGCGAGGCCTTCAGATGCAGGACCCGGGCTCTCCCAAGTGAATTGACGGCCGGACATCCCTCGGGATTTTTTGCCGCTGGGTGTAAAGCCTCTTTTTGGTTGTCAGAGGCCCCCCAAAGTGGTGGGAGCCCGAAAGGAAAACGATCCTCAAAATGAAGCCCATTAGTGGCTAATAGACCCTAGCAGTCGCCACTTGGCCCCTGATTGGGATTGGGGCTTGACAACCATCCGCAGAAAATTGCGAGGTTCCCCAAAATGCTCGCTGGAAGGGGCCAACTGCACTGAGGCTTGGTCAAGCTTCTTGTGTCCTGGGTAGCTGGGTGAGGGTTGAATCGCATGGAGCAACAGGCCGCTTTGGAGCAGCGAACTCCACGTTTCAGGGGACCTCACCCGAACAGAGGATCACGTGTGTATGTGAGCCATGTATGCGTGCTTTTTTTTGGGGTTGTAGGGAGGCCTACGAAATGGTGGTTTTCCTCCAGGCGTTCCTTTAAAACCACCAAACAGTGGTACCCTCAAAGAAAGACGAGCCGGGCATTTTTGTGACCAACGGCCTTGAGACCATGTGGCCCGGGAGGGACATGGGGGAACGAGCTCTAAAATTCCACACCAGGCTCACGACGTTTTTGTCCACGTCCATTTGGGGAATCAAGTCCCTTTGGCTCAGGCCAAAGAGAGGGGCGCTGTTTTTTGCGGGACACAGTTGCATGCGTTGTTTTCTTCTCCGCACATGAGGACCCCCGACGACGGAGTTGTGCGATCATCTTTCACCCTGGTGTACAATGATCTTGGGCTGGTGTACTTGGACTTAGCGATCTCATGGACATAAGTTGCCCTGTTGCAGTTGCACCGTGCTGAGAAAAGGGGGGGCTCTGATTTGAAACCAGGCAGCAAGCTGGGGTTTCTTCCAAGCTTGAGTTCATTCGAGACTAGCCCTGAGGCAGGATCTGAACGTTTTAGGTTTCTTTTGGGGTACAAGCTCGCTTTGGTTTGCCCGACGTAACCTTTCTCAATGCGGACAGAATGTACAGTGTATCTTTTGCGGCCAGCAACTGTTTCTCAAGAGTTTCTCTGGGGTTCCGCAGAGCAAGCCATGGCCATTTTGCAGACAAGCAGACCCCGAAACTGGCCAGAGATGAGCAAAGTCCCCGATAGGCAGAGGTGCCATTTTTTTCGCCAGCCGCTGGTTTCCAGGGGAGAGACGTCAGCGCTTGAAAGGTCACAAACACCGCCCAAAAGGGCATGAAAGCTTCGGTAGGGGTGTTCGCCGCAGCCAAGTGGGCACCCGTTGTTCCCCAGCTGGGACCCGTCCTTCCACGAGGAGTCTCACTTTTGAACAAGCCCACAAAGGGGTGATGTTAAGGGGAAGACCGGGGAACCCTGTGCAATAGCAGGGTGAGTGGGGGGTTGGGGATGTTTATAGGTGTTTTGGTTTTTGACACAAGCGACCATCCCTACTCTGCTTTCCACACATGTGGCTCCTGACAGGTCTGTGCAAGAGGAAAGCTATCTTCCCGAGCCTTTTGTTTGCTGGGGAGCCACGGTCCGGTAAATGCCGCGTCTTTTTGTCAAGGGTTGACATCACTCCTCTGCGGCCTTCTGTGCAGGTTCAGGGTTGGGGTTTGTAGGGGCATATGGGCCACGATCAAGTGTTTGTGGCTACCCGAAAGGACAGGACAATGAGAGAGTCCCCCTTGCGTCACTTTGGGGCGGGCTACTAGTCCCCTGTATGTACAAGACACTCGCAGCCAATTAGAGAGTGCCCCTGATTTGTGTTGCTGTTTTTGTGCCTCCCCCCAGTCTCTCACACAGTCACCAAAATTGACCATGGACACAGCGGGACCTCGTGACCGAGCCTAATATAGGGTCTTAAAACCACCATTGTACTTGGTGGCTCCCAGCCATCCCCTTAGTCTTTTAGCTTTTTAGTATTTAGTGGTAGTTTCCATTTAACCCACTAACAGTTAGTCACTTTTAGCGGGGGATCTGAGGGCAGAGCAGTGTTAAAGTTCCTTTTTCAGGGAGTCATGGCCATGACTGCTTTGGGACTTTTGACAATGACTGGTTCTTTTCTCAACATTCTAGGGGTTGATTTTCCATTCAAAAACCGATCGCCATTTCCCCAGGGTTTTTGGCGTTTTGTTTTTTGTTTTTTTAGAAGGATCCCTGGAAAGAATGGGGAAGTTACCCCTAGAAAAACAACGCCGCCATGATTGGTTCGGTTTTGGTTTCCTTTGGGAACAACGCCAAATTGGGTACCCCAAAAAATAATCACCCAGCCCCCCAAGACTTATCCTCCGGACTCCAGCAAGGTTCTTCATCTGGCAATGAATTTAAATAGGGAACCTTTTCAAAAGTGGCTGGTGGACATACATCCCCATGCAAATGAGGTCCAAAGGGTCCTCGATTAAAACGAACACCTATCTGTAATAGCGGACCGTCTTCATGCAAGCAGTGCCACATGCGGTCGCCGGAAATGATGCTGGCTCGCGATGGGATAGATCAAGCAGTGATTCTGCCTTATGGCAGACTGCTGGCTCACAGGGGTAGGATCATGAGTCACCCCCGACTGCGATTGAAGGAAGTCACAGACAGACGCGAGGAGACCGCCAACCGGATCGCGGTGGCGGACGCCAACACGGGCTTCGCGCGGATCGGGGGCTCGGGGCTCGGCGGCCCCGGATACCGGAGATCGGAGATCGGGCAAAAGGGGGGGCTGGGGGGGCTCAAGGCGGCGAGCAGAGATTGGGGCGTGTCGTGTTTTAGGGGAAGCCCCAAAACTTGTTTTTTTTTTTTTTTTTTCTCTTTTGGCTTGGTACCCTCAGATTTGGCAAGTTTACCAAGCTTAACTAAGCATTGTGCTTCCCATTTTGCAACTGCACCTCATGCAAATCTGACGCGGGTTGGGCTGTCAGCCAATATTGGGTGGGGGTGGGGGGGTTGAAATAGCTCTTTGATTCAGGATGGCAGAAGGCCCCAACCTGTTTGGCTAGCCTTTTGACCCACCTTTCCTTTTTGGGAAAGTCGACTTTCCCGCGAATCGGCACTCGACTCTCTTCACGGCACTTAAAAGTTGCGATTTTGCAGCCGGAGCTGCGGGAGTGTACTCAGCGTACTACGTTTGCACTTACAAGCTGCGATTGTTGAGCTGCCCTTCCAAAACCGATTCCAAGTTAGAGCCATCTGCAGCCAATTTGGAGGGTTTCCACTCCTTGAAAGCACGTTGCTCGCTTGCCACTCTTAAGTTCCCGAGCTAAGGGTGGTGCAGGGGGTCAAAAGCCTTCATCATTTTCCACGGAGGTGGTCGTCACTTTCATGTACCCCAACAGTGTTGTTACTTTGGCGCATTTTGCCAAGGGATGTTAGGACACTAACTTTTTGCCAGCTCATGGGGTTTTCCGTATGAAACCACTAAAAGTTATTCACTTTTAGCAGGGGAGCAGATTTCGCAACCGAGGTTAGGCATTTCCTGTGGTCGTGTTGGCCTCGGATTAGCGACCCCTTTGGTCAGAAGGTGCTTTCATATTTTTGTTCCTTGGGGATTGGTGGGTCCTCCCAAAACTAATTACCAGTGGAGTTGACAAACGTTGAGCTTTGCGTTGGCAGGCTTTTTTTAACTATATATATATATGCATACATATGTATTATATATATATATACACAGAATCATTTTATGCACGGCAGCCGAACAGCTAGCTCAGAAGGATCCGACTACCAGGACCCTCAAAACCCTTGAGCATGTGCTTTCTCATTCGAGCAGCAAGCAGCCCAAAACCCACTTCTTGGCCATGTTAGCAAGGTCATGGTCAGCCTGAGACTGGGGTCGTTATTTTGACGGTTTCTGGGGATTATCAAAGTCAGTTCATGGATTCGGTTGTTTCGCTTTAACCCACCACTGAACGGGGGTGACTTGGATCATGGTAATATAATGAGGCCAGTAAGAGGCCATGCGGGGCCCAAAGTGCAGGGGGTTGCCGCCTACGGTCGCTGACTCAGGCATCAAGTGCACCATGAACGACCGCCGGGAACCAGAGCAGTTCGGAGTTCGCGTGTGCGTGTGGTTGGTGCCAAATTCTTTGGTTGGAATACAACAGGACCGGCATACACCAAACTTGGGACTGAAGTCCCGCTTCAACATTTGAACGCCCCGCACCTGTTTCTGGAAGGAAGCCAGAAGGCAAATCAACCACCTCAATAAGTACGCAATTTTGAGCACTTTGGGGACAGCCAGTCTTGGATGATCTAGCAAGGAACCGCACCCCCTCTTGCAAGGACCCCTTAAACACATCAATTCCCAACACACATCACCTTGGGCAAGACTTCAATAGGTCGAGCGCGGAAGTATGTTTCCGGTGGTGTGGTTACGTGTTCTTAGGAACGGCTTTATGAAGGAACATGGGATAAAATGGGACTACCTACTTTAGAAAACATCGATTGCACAATGGACAGCGGGCTCCCCACCTCCCCAACGGGCCCTCTCTCTTTTTCTGAAAAGGGGATACCAGGACACCGCTGTGCGGCAAAGCTACGTTGACGTGGGCTGTCCAGCAAAGCTATGTTGACATGTGCTGAACAGCAAGGCTATGCTGGCACGAGCGCACCGGAGAGTTGTTTCGAACAGAGGCAAAGCGGAGCTGTGCAGAGCAGCGCGGGGTTCAGGGAGCTTAAACGGAGGTGCTTTAAGCAATTCTGGTTTTATCCTGAGGGAATAAATTGGAAAAATCAAGATATGGAGTTTAGTATGCTCTCAAGCAAGCTCAGCAAATAACACTTCCACAGAATTAGTGGCCCCTTTTTTATTCTTTGCTTATTTGGAGTTCCCTCCAGGCAACAACAAATCACATTTTTCGCTGACGTCCCAATTTTCCAGCCAAGAAGAATCGACAAAACCCGAAAAAAGATCGGGTACCCTTGTTCTATCCTCTCTACTGGATCCCATCAAAATCCCGTTAACAGTCGGGTGTCATATGACCCCCGTGATTTTGGCTTTCCCACCGACGCATCGCTCGACATCCGCCTGCCCCGAGCGCCCCGAGCCGCGAGAGCCGTTCGTCTCAGGCGTCTCCGAGCCGGGGGAGTGTGACTACTTGAACTGCTACGCCACAAACGCCAGGCGGGGGCCCGAAGCGGCGGGATGCCGTGTTGGTTGGTCTCCAAAAGAACGGGTTGGAAACTCCCAAACGGGGCTTGGGGGGTTCTTCGGTTTTTTTTCCCTTCAACAAGAAAAGCCACCAGTCAATTTCCCCAAAAAAGCAGGGCCGTGTGTGTGTGCGCGTGTGTTGAGGGGCGTTTTTTGAAGTTGCTTTGAAGGACTTCAGAAGGGACGCCATCTTTTGGAATCCCTTGTTTTTTTTGGTGTGCGTGACACATACACAGATGCATTCGGTCTGCGCAGAACTTGTGGCGCCCTCACCGATTGAAGGGAAAGAACAAGCGGTGAAGTCATTTTGCATATTAAGGTTCACAACACATGAGACAGGTTGCTAGCTTAGGATTCTTGAATTGAGGTTGGTGGGTGATTTGTAAGGATATTAGTGCAAATTCAGTCGAAGAGTGCCGGGGAGCGTGCCACATGGACATGTGGGTTCCATTAACATGATATGCCGTGAGTCGTCTTTGGATTCTACTTACACTGCCCCGAAAAAGAGGTACCCTCAATATGACACCCCGTGTCAAACTGACTTCTAGTTCATGGAGTCCTTGGTCTCGATGCGTAAATCCTCGGATAAACCACCACACTCAAAACCGGGGTAGTAGATGAAGGTGAGGGGAGAGAGTCCCAGCCATAACTTGCTGGTGGTCAGGGAATGACACGGTGAAGGGGAATGAACCAGACGGGATTCCCTAAATGTTGACCCGGATTCATTGATTAATAGGGGGGTGTCCCCTTTTGGTGGGGATTTATCACTTTTGGAGGGGAACACCCCCATGTTAATAAACCGGGGTTTATTAATCCGGGGTCAACATTACAGGAAGCCACAAGGGATAGTTGCTAGGTCCCCCAGTAGTGCCCTTTCTCACCCTTTTTTGGTTGGGAGGGTTCCCCTACTAAAATCGACTACAGAAAAGAATCGGGTACCCTTATTCTAACCTCTCCACTGGAGGACCTAGGTTTATAGGTGTCATTTTCCAGGTTTTCAATGGCTGCTTCTGAAGCCCTACGAGGACGTTTTTTCTGCTGGTGGAGAGTTCATTTGCTTCACGGGGATGTGGTTCGCGTGTCTTCGTTTCGGGGACCCCGCAAATTGGGTATCAAAGGGATACCCCCAACCAAAAGGCACCCACTTCTGGGCAAAGTATAGGGTCGCGAGCAGTACGATGACTGAGCCTTGTCGCCTAGGTTCAAGAAGGCCATTCTTGCACTGAAGAAGCGGAACGACGAGTGCTACGCACCTCGCCGTGTCAATTGGCTTGCGGGACCTGTGGTTCCCGTCGACCTGAACCCTCAACCTATGTTAACTTCACGCTGAAAGTCAGTTGAGCCAAATTCAAAACCAGGGTAGATGAAGGTTAGTAAGGGACAATCCCAACCAGAAACAGCTGCGGCCGCCTTCTTAATTCTTTACATGGCTCTGGGTAGACCATTTTAGAACCGGGTTCTCATTATGACTCAGTTGGGCCAAAAAGAAGGTCCATCAGATGCAGGGAGCTCTGTTTTCTTTTGGCCTTTTGACCTGGGTTCAGATTCTGGAGGATACCAAGAGGAATCGCCCAACGAAGTAGTCCCCCCTTTCAACAAGGAACCCATGATTAGGGATGAATCCAAAGTGATAGTGCCGCGCACTTTTGTGCTGCTTTCCGAGGTTTAAGATTTTGAGGGTCCAGGTATTTGATGGACAGAATGTTTGGCGCCCGAAGAAATATGTGGGTTGGTCTTTGTGTGGAGGGTACCCATGCAGGATTGATTTAAAGGCACACCAACTGGAGAGCCACCATGTGGGGGGTGGTTCCTTATCTTGAGATACACCATTGGACTTATGCCAAACTTGCCCTCAAAACAGTGCCTTGACTGGCTGCCTGGGCAATTTGCCCCCTTGCTGCCCCCTTCCCATATTTTTTCAAATGCATCTTCTTTTCAATCCGACCCACCTGATTCCCTTGAGATGTTTCCTTCCGTCTCAGCATATATGAGGTTCGATCAGCATTTCCGGCAGTCGATGGTCAATGTGGAAGGGACATGGTGTGTTTGTGTGTGTTGACTGACTTTATGCATACGCATATGTATGTATATATATATATATTTGTATATATATATATATATATTATCATACATATATGAATAGGTATATTTATATATATATACACACATATTCATATATATATATGTATATGTGTATACATACATACATACATACATACATGCATGCATGCATGCATGCATGCATGCATGCATGCATACATACATACACACATACATACATACATACATACATACATACATACATACATACATACATACATACATACATACATACATACATACAGACATACAGACATACAGACACACACACACACATACATACATGCATGCATGCATGCATGCATGCATGCATACATACATACATACATACATACATACATACATACATACATACATACACAGAAATATATATATATATATATATATATGTACACGCACGCATATATATATATATACACATTATAGATAATTTGTCCCATGTCTTTTAGGAGGACTTTGGGAGAAAGACACAGCTTTCACCATGGCTCATTGGCAATGTCTTGCAATGACCATGTGGCCCGAGGATGAGTGGGTGCGGGCCTCGACGGTTTCGGGGTTGGATCCGGAAGGGGTGGCCAAGGAAGTGGCTGCGGTGGTCAAAAGTAGGGCAACCCCAACATGGCTTGACCTGATAAATGGAAAGGACCAACACTTGCGGTCCATTTCCTGGTTTAATTTTGACCCATACCAAAGTCAGTCTCTGAAATTCTTGGCCAACCGTAGTCAGCACCGGTTGATGGACGAACTCCTGCACCAGTTGACAGGTTTGGGTCAGTTTGCACAGTTGACAGGTGATTTGTCCAGGGCTTTCATGCATCCCGACTGGTGCGGGATTGTCCATCAGTAGTTGTCCTTTTTTGGTCAGGTTGGTTGAAGTGGATGGATTCCACATGTTTCACCAGTGGACTCCATCAATTTGTTTAAAAGGATGGTTAGGAACACACCTGAACTGATCAGCAAGGCCAACCGTGTCCTCAGCCGCTAAAATATGTTGAGATGAAGCACGAATCATACTCTTGAGCTTTGGTGCCCCCTGAAACTTCCAAGAATTGACCATATCTTTGGAAAGGACCCCAAAGTGATGCCAATAGATCCAAAGGATACGGGAGCACCTGGCAAAACAACCAACGCCCGCACCTTTCGCCCCCTATCTCTGGATCAGTGTATGTGTTGTTATTATTATTATCATTATTATCATTATTATTATTATTATTATTCGGGACCCTTTCATTGACATCATTTCGCTGAGGATCAACCACTTGTGAGGCGCTCTATTCATAGCCATATGGCGGCATGCAGTTTGATTATGATGGTCTCGCAGGTCTTCGTTTCCTTGCGAGGGGCGGAATCCATTGCACCATCGCCACAGATCTGAAAACAACTGCCATGAACACATGAGGGATGGTCCGAGCATCAGCACGTGTGGAGTCTCCTTTTGGGGCGAAGAACCTCGTCTGGAGGTTCCATGTCAATTTGGGAAATCAACATTGTGGCGACAATGTGTAGCATCCTAGAACTCATCGGTTCGGCCACGTTTAGCTCTCTGTTTTTTGAGGTTTCATTTCGTTTCCCTTTCAACAGACCCAAAGGATTCCTTGGTGCATTTTGCTTGGATGTCAGGACTTCAACTTGTTACGAACTAATAGGTTTTCCATTAAACCACTAAAAGTTATTCACTTTTAGCAGGGGAGCAGATTTAGCAACCGAGGATAGCAACCAGTATCCACCGTCTTCACCCTTTCAGCTCTGCCTGGCGATTTTTCCCCCAACAGCTGAAAGCTTTGGGGTCTCAGCCCAGATAGGCTCCGGGGTAGTCCTTGTTCCACCAGGGTTCCACAAGCTCCATGCTGTTGGGGATACCGTTCATGGACGAAATCCATTTCGCACCACTTTGAGACCATGGGACACCATTGTTTGTTGGTATTTACAAGGGACTGATCATTCCAGGGTTTCTTGGGTGCGTTGGATGGATTTCGCAACCATCCACATCCCCTGAGCTTCTTTTTGCCAGGAGGCGACGCAGGACAGCGAGGCCAACACTTGCCTGCCGGGCGAGGGCCAGGCGGGGAGCGGGAGGTGACCAAGTGACTTGCGTTGGTAAGCGAGTCCAGCGCCAGAATGGCCGGTCCCCTAGGCGAAAAGCATATTAATAAAAAAAATCACACAGACACAGCCTGTGTCTAGAGACTTGCGTTGCTTGTTCTTAGTTGCCATACCGCCAGACTCTTAGACCCAGAGTTTAGAGGGGTTTAGGCCGCAGGAGTATCTTTCAGCAAGGGGTCCATGAATCGCCGGGTTTATCCTTCGACTTCTTCGCCTCAAGCCTCAAGAGCCGAAGCTATCGAAAGGGAGAGAGCGGAAAGGGAGAGGCAGATCTGAAATCCATTTGACAAGCGAGTTGAAATGGTACCAACCAGAGATGTTCGAAACGATCCCTGGGAAGAGATAAAAAAAATGCGGAGTTCGCATCACGGGACATAGCTATGTCGGTTGGTTGAACCTTTTGAGTACCCATGGTTACAATCCTGAAGGTGCAAGATCTCAGCTTTTCGGAATTCGTTGGCTTTTTTTGGACAGGGTACGAGCCGTAAAACCGTTTCGTCCAGCAGTCTGTTGAGCCCGAAACCTGTGAGTGGGGAGGCTGCATTACCCGGACGGTGTTGGGGCAATGCAGCTCGTGTGAATCGGGACCATGTGGCGCTTGCCCCTTTTAGTTTGAGATAGGGTTCATAGGGGGATGCCTCTGAGCTTGACTGCGATTGGGTTGGATCTTTAGACTTTAACTTTTTGGGAAATGAAGGGGTTTTCCACTAAACCCACAACAAGTTCAGCGTTTTGCCGAGGGGTCAACAGCAACAACGGGAGTAGTATGGTCCATGTTCGTTGAAGTCTCCCAAAGGTGGCAACTTGTTTTGGGTAAAATGGACTCGTGGACTGCCTTGAGGAACAGTCAGTCACTTTTCATTTCCCCGAGGAAATCCGCGGAACAGACCTGCCCACTTGAGCAGCGCAAAACAAAACCGCCCCAACTTGGCAATTTTGGTAGCTTGTTCTGCTACCGTCAACGAAGCATTGCAGGTAATGGGCGAAATCTTGCGCCACATAACCATGGTTGAAACCATGGTTTCTTCATCCATCCACAGTATCTAAGCCTTTAGAGCTACCTTAGAACCAGAAGATCTCGCGGGTAGAAAACCTGGCCGCTCGCCGAAGAGAAGTTTTCCGCCGCTGCACTTCAGGCGCAGAAGGAGCTCAAGGGGCCTCGGTTCTTTGGGCCAAATGTGGCTGGCGGGTGGAAGGTTTGTGTGGGTGGAGCGGTTTCCAGTCGTATGGGTATGTGTCAAAATCATACATATATGTATATATGTATATATGTATGTATGTATATATGTATATATGTATATACATATATATATATATATGTATATATGTGTATATGTGTATATGTGTATATATGTATATATATATATATATATGTGTATGTGTAGAAATGAATTTACATATCCCACAAATAATTTGTTTAACTTTAAAAGGAATCAAGGAACCGCTAAGTTTTGTCATTTTTTGAGATCTTGGATGGTTTGTGATGTGCTCTTTGCGGTGCAGCTTCCTGCACTATGGTTTCCATTGGGAAAGAGAGGATGGTTTGAACGGCTCGATCAATGCATCCCTATCAACAGGGAAACGAGCCATTTGCACAATCTTTTGCGAGCCAACTTGGGGGTACAGTGGGTCAAATCTCGTTGATCCGCAACGATGGTTTCTTGCCTTGGCAGTTCACAGCCATACGGTTCCGACTTTGCATGGTTTAGAGTTGGAGGGATATGTTTAACCTTTGGCAAAGGGTCAGCGAACCACAGAACGATCTCCAATGTTCGGGAGTCAGATGTCAGCTAGAGATGATCATACGGTCAAACCACCCATGTACTTGGTTGATGGGGATGGTCATCAACTATCTGGGATTTGAGACAAGCCTGCTAGAGGCTTCACTGTCGACCACGTATCAGTCTCATATCCTTGGCAGTGACCGTGGCAATTGACCATAGCAATGGACCATGGCAATTGACCATGGCAGTTGACCATGGCACATATGGTTTGTCTTGTCAATCTTTCGCAGTTGCTGGTTTTGGCACATAGCACTCCAGACTCAGGCCCCTTTGCCCGATGGTCTCGGCCGAAAAAAGTGAACCGAGGCTCCCCAAGGGCGCTGCCGCGCCCAAAGGCGCGGCCAAGCCGCTGAGCGCGGAGGCCCTGGGCGCGGAGGCGGGGCCGAAGCGTTCGCGCGATTGCCGCGGAGGTTTGGTTGGACGGGGGCCGGGGGCACGGGTTTTGGGGGGCTGGAAGAAAGGGGGGGGGCAAGACGATTTTCCGAACAGTTGGCCATTTTTTTTTCACCACGGCGAAGATTTGGTCCGGGGGGGTGGGGTGGGGCCGTACTCTTGGGTTAAAGGTGGGGTGCGGGGTTGATGGTGGGCGCGATCGATCCGCCGATGTTTGGACGCGAGCGGTTCCGCTTTCTTTTTTTGTGGGGTGTCGGGTGGGGGGGTTGATGGTGGACCCTGAACTCCTTCTTTCAGGGTGTATGGTGCATGGTGTTCTGGGTTGCAAAATCGACTTCAGGTGTCCATGGGAAGGGGGGGGGGTTGCACGAGCCAGAGCCGTGAAGGTCCTTCACTTGAGCAGATTTAGAGTTTTGAGCTAGGTCCTTGGCTTGAACAACAGATTCTATTTATTTTTATACATGTTTTTGGACTTCGAGCAAAGAAATGCAGATCCGAGGACCACAACGCAACAGGCTGGGAGGTCCCTTGAAACGGACTTTCTTCCAGGTACCCCACAGGTGCCAGAAAAAAGTTGGAGCGATCCGGTCCTGTGCTGGTATCCGATTCTTAACAAAAAGTCAGTTGGAGCAACAAATGGGCAGATACTGGGGAATGTAAAGAATCAGATGAAAATAGGCAGGTACATTGCCAGCAGCAAACTGGCCACAAATAGGCAGATACATTCTTAAAAAATGTCAGCTGGTACATGGGAATGTAACAAACAGCTTGGCATGGTACGTGGGAAACCACATAGGTACATGGAAAGCAGAAGAAACACTCTAAGTTCTTAGCAAATAGGCTGGAACTTTGCCAACATTGCCAACAAATAGGTACATGGGAATGTAACAAAAAGTTTGGCAAGAAGAACGCCACCCATATATTGTGTTTTTTGGGGGGGCTTGGATCAGTTTGGTGGGACGCTGGTTGGACTTTCTTGCGCCTCTCCGCGGAAGAGAGTGGTTTGGTTTCAACACAGTGGGGGACCCCAATCTTTTAGGTGAGAAACAGGTTCTTCCTTTGATTGGAAAAAACAGATCCCACGTTAGTTTGGAGAGCAGAGGTTCGTTGTCTTTGGGATCAGGTGGCTTTGCTGGGAAACACCCTGTTGTTGGGATTTCATCCAGTGGGGAGAAAAGCAAATGGTTTTGGGATGAGAACAAATCCAACCGGAGCAGGACTTGTCCACAGCTTGACCAGTGAACCCGTGGAGGGCGACTAGACGGCGCACCACCCCCAGTTGAAAGCTTGGCGCACGGCCTCTTCTTGCCGCGGGAGATCCCCCGGTCGAGACCGTTGTCAGGTATTTATATGAGCACGGGTCAATCACTGGCGTCTACTGGGGGATGGCATTGGGCACACTCACCAAATGACACGGAGGGAAATCAGGGTGACCCACCAAAATCCAATGCCATTTGACACAAGAAGTACTCTCCGGTCTAGGTCCAGCTAGGTGCCTTTTCTCGCCCCCTTTTTCGGTTGGGAGATTCGGTTCCCCTACCAAAACCGACAAAACCGAAAGCAGGTGGTACCAACTTATTCGAACCTCTCTAGAGGACCTGGCGGTTTGGATGTCTTTTTTTGTCCTTCGGCTGGTGGCCGTTGCCTCCCGGGGCCAGGCCTTGGACCCGTTTTCCCCGCAGAGTGAGAAGCTCGGTGACCTCTGCATAGGTGTCCCTTCAAGGTTTGATGGGCTAGAAATAGGCGGGCTTTGCTTCATTTGCCAGGAGCATCAAGTTGTCTTGAACGGGCGGCTATGATACGCTCCGCTTTTGGTCAGGGGCTGACGTCAGACCCGAAACGTCGTGCGTACTTGGAGGGATTATTTCCATGATGGAAACCGACAGAGGATGGAGACCGACCGGCCCAGTCCGTGTGGATTCCCCCAAAAAGCTCGTGCGCATGTTTTTTTGCCTGTGTGTTCAAGGTCCCCCAGTAGTGCTCTTTTACCTTTTTTTGGGGGAGGGTTCCCCTACTCAAATAGACTCCAGAAAAAAAAGGGTACCCTTAAACCGGTGGTGGGGCGGCATGCCTCACTTATCTGCGCCTGTCGACCGCGGAGGCGCCTCGAGCCAAAAGGGTACCCTGATTCTAACCTCTCTACTAGAGGACCTAGTCTTGCTGACGTCACCACATTCCTTTTCTTTTTTGCTGGAGGATGGTTGATACGGCTCCCACATGCCAGGCGGCCAAAGAGAGCGGCCTGCCGGCGCCAGCCTCGAGCAACCGGCCAAAGGTGGTTTAAACATTAAGCATGTTGATGGTTGCTATGTGGTTTTGCTGCCCCCTTTGGCAGCCCTTTGCTGTGTGTGCGCATGTGTTTCAACTCATTTTGGGGTGTCGTCATGTCGCCCTTGAACCATAATGCTCCAGCCATCCTCCCGCCCGTTTCGCGTTCTGCTTGACGCTCGCTTCTGAAAAATCTTAAAGCGGAGGACTGCGCAAGAGGACTTGTGGGGTCACAATTTTGGGGGTCGCCCTATTGTGATACATACCTATTTTCCACCATCAGGCCTTTGATTCATCCGGAGTCGTCCTATCGGCGAGGTTCATTGCAACCCGCGAACGGACGGATGTTCCTCAACCCGAGCCTTACAGGGCGTGCGATTCATCCAATTGCTTTTCCTTAGTGTGAGTTTTGTTGGGTGTGCCTGGTTATCAAGGGAAACCAAAAGGAAGACCCATTCGTGTCTTCGCCAGCCTGGGGGTTTTGAACGCAAGTGAATGATTTTCATGAGCTCGCGAATTGGTCCGGTCTCAGGTTGGGGAGCTCTAGTCGTGCGGAGATGGCAGTCAATATTAACCTTTGCTTTGGGATGTGTTTGGTCATCAGTTTGCAAACCATCTACTTTGGTGCAAATTAGGACTTCAACTTTTTTTGCCAACCAATGGGTTTTCCCTGTTAAACCACTAGAAGTTAAAATCTTTTAGCAGGGGAGCAGAAAGCAACCCAGTCTAAGGTTACTATCTGCTGGTCAAACTCTAAGAATCCATTTGGGGAGCAAAATCTGAGGGAAATGCCAAGCTGACGACATGCCAAAGTTTCGCGCAATTCGAAGCCCCGGCGGTAAGTTGACAGTCTTGCTAGGGCAATCGGGTGCTTGAAGGCCAGGAAAAAGAAAGAATCCCAGGGAAACGCCCCACATTGTTCGTAAAAGAAAGGGAAACGCAGCAAGGTTCTAGGGCTTGATTCCCTTTCCATTCTTTTCAACCATCGTTCTTTTCAAAAACCAGCTGTTTCCAAGGGTTTTGAGTGGTTTTTTAGAAAGAACGACGCCTGGAAAGAATGGGCAAGGTACCCCTAGAGTCTTATCAGCCCGTAAAGATAGACTGGTCTTTCTTGGTGTCTGTGATTGAGCCAACTTGGGCAACTGACCAGTCCAATGACCCATCCTGAAGCTGCCTTGACATTCTTACAGCAGCGTTTTTGTTTAATACTTTCTAGATGAAGGTTAGTAAGGGACAATCCCAACCATAAGTAGCTGCGGCCGCCTTCTTAATTCTCTACATGGTTCTGGGTCGACCAATTTAGTACCGGGTTTTGATTGTGACTCAGGTACCTTCGGGTAGTTGGGGTCAAGATCCCGTACCCCAGAAAACCTCCGGTTCTTGCGCTGCAGCCAGTCGATGTGATGCTCCAAGGTGATGCTCGCAGCGCCGGTCGCAGGCTGGGGTGGGGCCATTTGGGTATGGGTCAAAATTAAACCACCGGGGGACCGCAGGTTTTGGTCCATGTTTCCACTTACCAGGGTTCCATTTTGGGGTTATCCTTTTTTTGATTTATAGCCATTTGATTTGAATAGGTTCTGCTTGGTTTGACAGGAAAGCAAAAGGAACCACATTCAGTTTTCAGACATACCCCTCTTGGTAGGTGGTTCGGTTCCTACCTGCTTCGTTGGGGGTAAGGCCTAAACCGAAACAGTAGCGCTCCGATGGCAATGTTGCTTGGGATTTTGGAGCACAGCAGGTAGTCGACTCAGCAGGTCAACCTGCAACAAAAACGACAAATTCCAAGGTTAGATACGCCATCTTTTTTACTCTCAAGGTACTTTCGACCATTGTAAATGTTCCTAAAGGAAGCATGACCATGACCTTCATCAGGCGTTTTCACACCATGGCTTACATGTTTAAGCGCCAGCGCGGTTCATTAGCCTGAAAGGATGTTCACGCACTCAGAATCCAGTTTTGGCTTGACGAATCTTTGCACAGCCAAGAACACAGCAGCTCCCGATGCCTCAGGCTGCTTCCCCAGCTCCTGGAAGAGTTGCAAGCCACACGACTTTAAGAAACAAGCTGGGAGCGGTTTGTCTGGATATCCTTCCTCCACCAAACATACAGCAATGGGAGGGCACCTGGAAGATCAATTTCCTCTTGATCATTTCTCCGGTCTGGCATTCTCAGGTTATCTCAATTTTTATTCACCCATTTGAGATGCTCCATTCCAGCGTAGGTTCACCAAGGTTGAGACATTGAACCCTCTTTGATCCACTTTGAGGCATGTTGAAATATTCGGACGCTGACTCATTTCATTCAGAGACAAATTGTTGGAGCGGGTGAGTCAAGATGCTTTGAAATGCACCAAGCTGGATGAGCATGGTCCAAATGAGTCTGAATGAACCTTGGACAACATGGGTAAAACATGGGTCAAACATGGGTCAAACACGGTTAACACACGGGTCAAATTGCGTTAAACAAGGTGAACCCATATGTTCAGAATGGGGTAACATGGATGATTATGCGGCAACTGGAGTCAGCATTGGTGAAAATGAGCCAAACTGGCTAAAGTTTGGTCGGAGTGCGCCAACATGGATCAACATAGTGTCAATGTGCGCCACCCTACCCTCGAACTAAACTAAACATTTTGGGTGATAGTTGATGAGACGTGTGACAATGTTGTTTACATGTGCCAGAGCGGGCCAAACTCTGAAACCGGTGAACACACACAGACACACCCACACATACACACACATACATACACACACACACATACATACATACATACATACATACATACATACATACATACATACATACATACATACATACATACATACATACATACATACATACATACATACATACATACATACATACATACATACATACATACATACATACATACATACATACATACATACATACATACATACATACATACATACATACATACATACATACATACATACATACATACATACATACATACATACATTACATACATACATACATACATACATACATACATACATACATACATACATACATACATACATACATACATACATACATACATACATACATACATACATTACCCTCAGTGCCATTCACGCCCCTTGCGGAAGTGGGGCACGAGCTTTTCTACTCCTTTGCCGTTGGCTCTAAGCTTGCTAGATCATTGGCTAGACCTGCGGGTCGGTTTGGGTGGCTTGCGAGCTGGAGAGGCCTCTTGTGAGGGAGGCCTACAAAGAACAAGAAGGGCTGCGGCCCAGATAAACTGGAATTGGAGAGAGACGGGCAAAGTTCCCAAAAGGTGGGCTGCGGCCTGGTGGAGCCTTGATGCCGGGGCCATGGTTCAGTGGTCCTGGAAATCCTGAGTTCCTGAGTGAGTTAAGCTTTGAAGAAGGTGACTTGTGGGAAGCCCAAGTTCGAGATGACACGGGGGACTCGCAGGGGACCGTCCTTCTGGAAGTACAGCGGAAAGGGGCCTCGCGGGGCGGTAAAAGTTGGTTCCAAGCCAGAGTTTGGTCAGCCTCGGACGAATACCTGCGTTGGTGGCTGAGCAACGACAGCAAGGCCGCAAAGAGGGATGACTTCAAGTTCCACGTTTGCGGAGTGGCTTCGAGCACATGTCGGGAAAACCAAGGGTCACCTGACTTGGAGTTTCACACAGATTGCCTCCGACATATATCGCAAGGCGATGTGCCTGAGAGCAAGATTGCGTGGTTGGCCAAACCCGAGCAACAAGCTGCGGTTGGTGAGCTTGTCAAGAGATGGGAAGCTGGAGGCGGATGCGCGAAGCGAGACCAAGGGCGGATGGATGAGCCCGAGATGGAGTGGAAGACGGACTTCCCCGGGTTGCCTGGCCCTGGTCAAGCACCCCCTCCGGGTGAAGATGTGAGGCCGCAGCTTGAGATTCTTGCCGCGGATCTTGCAGGGAAAGGCAAAGGTGGAGTTGGGCAGCAGCAGAAAGATGAACGCGGACCGAAGGACCAGAAGAAGGTGCAAGAAGGACGAGGCCATCCGCCTAAGTGGTTTGGAGAAGCGAAAGACGGACAAGATGGCAGGAGGCGTCGGTCTGCGGACCGGAAAGGGCGCCGAGATGATCGGGGCCGTTCCCATCGGCGCAAGAGGTCCAGTTCCGAAAGCCAAAGGAGGTCTAGAACTCGAAGCCGGCGGAGGAAAGCAAAGCGCCGCAGTGACCGAGGGCCTTTTGGAGTTGGTCGAGAAGTTCACTACGGTGACTCGGGAGGATCGTCAAGTTCTGAGTCGGGTTTTCGCGAGGGGGCCCCTTCAAGAGCAAAGTCTCAACAGCTACAGCTGGTGAAGTACTCAAATGCTCACCCCGGGCGGTTAGCATCCCGCTTGCTTCTCAGGATGCAGGAGATGCTATCGAAAGAAGGGGCGGACCCCACCCAAGTCGGGCCCGGAAACCCAACTCCAGCAGTGGCCTTGAACTGGGTCACCACGGTGTTCATGGCGACGCATCGGCAGAGTGTGTCCTTGAGGCTGCTGAGGGAGATGAAAACCATCGCCAGGGCCCTCGACTTGGTGGCCAATGGTCAGGCCGTGCGCGCGGGGGATGTGCTGGCTCAGCGACTCAAGGCTTTGGAACTCCAGTTGACGGACCAGGGCTGGCAGCGGGCCCAGTTCCTAGAGTTGGTGGAGCCCGAGGGACCATCGCTAATCGGCAGGGACGAGGCTGTCATGACCTCGAAGGAGCTGGCTGCCGAGATGAAGGTGAGGCGGTGGCAGAACAATCGCGTGGATCAGTGGCAGCAAGAACGGCCCGAGAAGGGCAAAGGGAAGGAAAAAGGCAAGGCGAAGGACAAGAAGGGCAAGAGCAAAAGAAAGGCAGAGGAGGAGCAGCATGCCTAAACGACTTGGAGAGCAAGGCCTGGGCAAGGTACGCGTTGAACCAGGTGGACTCCCTGATTCCGCCGCTGGGTGAGTCTGATGAGGAAACCGGAGAAAGTGTTGCTCTGTCCAGAGAAGTGGCAAGGATGTTCAAAGAGCATGGATCGCTTCGCGACTGGCAAGTCGGCATGAGGAAGGTGATGGATAGCCAGCCAGGCTTTGCAGACTTGGGAGCAATCCTTCACCAGGCAGCTCAAAAGTTACCGACCCCCTTGGGATGTTTTCTGGCGCAGCATGCGAACCCAGACAAGCCTCCTTTGGCCGCCGAGGCCAGCTATCCACAAGGGGGAGATGTCCTGCCTATCCATCCTGCGGCGATCAATGTGGGACAGCCTGGTGTGACAAGGCTGAACCTTGGCTGGATTCGCTTCATGGTGGCGGTGTTGGATTTTGAGTACTGCGCGGGGTGGACCGAGCCAGTGTGCGTTCCGATCAAGGCGGGCCTCAACCCTGCACAGGTGACGGCCGTGGCGCACATTGCGGAGGTAGTCAACAGGACCCTGATAGGACTAGGGAACGTTCCGCCTTACGCAAAGGCGACAGCCGACCTTTGCAGCAAACAGTTCGACTACGCTGGAAACCCGGTGGAGTACATGAGGGACATACAAGCCGACTTGGTTTTGAAAGCTTGGCCGAAGCCGGGCTTTGCCGCCGTGGTCGATTTGGTACACTGCCTTCCACCTGAGCTGGGCGAGCAGATTCAGGACTTGGGGAGGTTTGTGCTCCCCCTTTCAGAGCGGCCAGCCCGGCCTCGACTCTCTCGGGTCAGAGCGTCAGATGACGAGTGGTTCAAGGTGTGCAAGGCTGCGTGGGAGCGCGGCATGATGTCGGCCGTGAAGGATTCAGACATCCCCAAGGACGCAAATGGTCACTACATCACAAATGGCGCTGGAGCTGTGCGGAAGGAAAAGACCGTTGACGGGAAGTTGATTGCTTCTCAGCGGTTCATCTCAATCATGTGCCCTGTGAATGAGATTTTGCAGCTCTTGCCGGGTTCACAGGATCGGCTGCCTTATATCTCCCAGCTGGCTGGTGTGCTGTGTGGACCAGATGAGTATTTGGTGGTTGATTCTGAAGACTTGGAAAGCGCCTTTAACCTTTTCCGTGTTCCGCCCGGCTGGGTCCCCTTCTTTGCTTACTCTAAGAAGGTGCGAGGCGACGCCCTCGGAGGATCAAAGGCGGAGTGGGTGCGCCCAGGGCTATGTGTTCTGCCGATGGGGTGGAGCTCGGCAGTGACTCTAGCCCAGGCGGCCATTCGTCATCTCACCTACACCATTGCAGGGATCTCGAGCTCAGGAGATGTTACAAAGGACAGACCTCTCCCTGCGGAAAATGACTTGACTGTTCTCTACTTGGATAATTTCGATGAGATTCGCATTTTGCGGAAGGACCTGGCGGATGCTGAGAATGATGCTTCTCCGAACCATTTGAAGTTCATCAAAGCTTGTGACTCTCTTGGTCTACCGCGTAACTCTTCGAAGCAAGTCATGGGCTCTTTCTCAGCGTGTTTACAAGGTGGAGAAGTTGATGGCTGGAACGGAGTGTTGAAGCACGGGTCTGAAAAGACGAAGAAGTTTATGGGGCTTGGACTGGCCTTGTTGGCCCAAGATTCTTGGGGAGAATTTTCGCTTAGACATTGGGCAGGCAAGGCGGGCTTCATTTGCGCCTTCCGGCGACCTTTATATGCTTTGCTCCAGGAAGTCTTTCGAGCAATCGCCACCGCTGAATCTTCGACAAAGGTGGCGCCTTACTCCGGAGCTGTGGACGAGGTGATGAGCATGGTAGCGTTGTGCGCATTTGGCGAGACCAACTTGAGAGCGGCCATCAGCCAGCAAATCTCGTGCACTGATGCATCCCCAACTGGCGGCGGGTCAGGGATTTCCGCCGTGTTCAAGTCCAAAGGGATGATACCCCCGGACCCTTTGCCGCAAAAGTCTGCCTGTGGAACTTGCGGGAGTGCACAGGCCGCAGATGTGCCAGTCTCAAACCTGCCATGTCCCCTGAAGTGCGGGGAGTCATTTTGCTGCCTGCAATGTGTACGGTCTCATGAAGCGCATTGCAGCCGGCGTGACTGGACTTGTCCTCTCTTTGGCGAGCGCTTCTGTGGTCCCAGGTGTCCCTTGACTCAAGCAGTGGCCATGGAGGGGATTCAAACACAAGTGGGGCTCGACAAGCTCAATGAGGAGTTGGAGTGGGACTTTTTGTCAGAGGCAGGAAAAGCAGTGCTGGAGGAGTGTGAAGAGGCTCCAAACCTACAACACTCCCACTGGGCTCCCGAGAGCAAAAGCTTCTCAACAGCAAGGGGAAAACCAATTTGGCTGAGTGATGGGAGCTGGACCTATGGGCCTAACGCGGTAAGGTCCAAGGAGCACCCTGAAGGCTTCCCTTACTTGAGCTCTCACGATCAAGTCCTGGTGCGCCGGGGAAATGCGATGGCGAAGAGGTGCCTGAAGAGCCTCAAAACAGCTCAGGAAAGAAAAAGGTGGGCGTCCTTGGAACATCCTTGGGACTCGTATCTGTGGGATTTGGAGGAGGCACAGTTCCTCAAAGATGAGAACTGGTACTGCTCTGAATTTTCGATGTGCTGCCACGGGGGCAGAACAATACGATGGACTTGCCTGGTTCACAACCTGAGGGAGCTTCACGAAGAGCTGCATCGGCCTGAGTGTCCAGGGCATAAAGGAGTGCTGCCATACGAAGTACATGATGACCTGGCGCGTCACCGTCTGCGTGACCCTGCCGAAGAGGCGGAATACCCGTTGAAGTTCTGCCAAAGATTTGCTCGGGGCCTCAGACGAGCAATTGATCGCGCCTATGCACCTCCCGTGGGAGAGTTACGCAGGGACTATGACACTGTGCTGTTAGCGCAAATCAAGGGCGCAACTCGCGGTTTGCAAGATGCGGATTTTGCCATGGACATGGTGCTGAAGGTTCAGCACGTGCTGGAAACTATGAACCAGGGACAAGAGTCTGAACATTTGCAGTGGTTGCTTCGGCATGTGCATCACACTGGAACGGACATCAGGCTCACCAACAAAGGTCCGGAGTTCACGGGGGACAGGCCAGTGGCATACCCTGCCTTCAGATGGCTTTGGCGTGAAGTGACTTCTTACAAGTGGAAAGTGCTGAATCACATCAATATTCTCGAGTTGCATGCGTATTTCAATGAGATCCGGAGGCGTGCTCGTATTCCCGATGAGCACCACAAGAGATTTTTCAACGTGGTTGACAGCTTGGTTACTTTTTACATC